ACTTCACTGGTGAGGCTCCTTTCGATCTTCTTCCAGGCTTGATGACAGGTCAGGTGGTTCTTGCTGATGTCGAGTAAGAGGTAAAGAACGTTGTACTCTCCTTCGGTGTCTAGGGTGCTTCGTAGGACACCCACTAGGGCGTTGTCAAAAGTTCTGTTCCATTTCGGGTGGTTTCTATCGTACGTGCCCTCTAAGTGTCGTATGGCATGAGGGACTACTCGAAGGTTGGCCTTGATGAGTGTGCTCCAACTGTAGTAGTTGCGTGACGTGAGCTTTGGAACCGTCTCCAAGATTTTGGCCAGGGTGCGGTAATCGTATCGGTCGCTATCGTCGTCCGATTCTGATCCTCCTTCATCCTCATTGTCAAAATACTCGGTTTCGTTACCGTCGGTGACCTCTTCGTCAATTTGTACTCGTTGTGGCGTTTTACCTTTTCTCGTCCTCTTGGCTACTTCACCCGTGCTGGCTTGGCGATCGTTATCTCCCGCCATATCAACTGAATGTCGTGGGTTCGAGCCCCACGTTGGGAGCCAGTTAAATTTAGATACACCACTAGGAGACCACGGTCAGGCACTCCCTTATCTGATGTTCTATGTAAAAAGGCTTGTGTTGTCATAAAGAGGTAACGACTGAGCTAAGGGCATATATACATGTTCTAACCACCTGACTGTGCTCTCTATGTCGAGTCATGCCCATGTGCCACGTAGCTTCTTTTATGAGTGTTGTCATGTCAACACATCCCCTGCATACCATGGCGTCAATCCTCGTGCATACGCTGCATTAGCTCCCACTAGCTTCGCATTCTGCTCGTCCTCTTCATCGCCTGATACCTTCCCGATTTCCCGATCCTGTGAACTCCCATTTAATGCATCACGCGTTGGCGATGCCGGTGCATCTTCAACTAGAGGTCAATTCAATTCAAAAGAAAGAAATCGAGCTAGTCTTTCCGTGTTAAGCAACCGGCATCTGGTCAGTCAAACAACGGTGAGACGAAGGAGAGGACAAGGTCAATGGGCATTTCATCAACCGATCTTCATGAGTGTCACCGACCATCAAACACAGCAACGGATCATCGAAATAATGCAACGAGCTCAACTCAATGCGGTTCAATCTACCCGAGGTGGACATTACATTAGACAGGTGCCACTGGTCGGTTGTCCACTTAATGCAAAGGGCAGGCGAACAACCAGACGATTGTTACGGAACTCCAAAGGAAACAGGGGCAGGCAATTGATCAGTAGTAGAGCCGAAAGCTCTGTGTGTGTAGGTGTTTTCGGAACAAAGGGGTGCGATTGTGCCGAGGTTGAAGCGGGCAACCATGCTGTGCTTTGTGTGTAACGCGAGTCAGAGGCGAGATGTGCTAAATTGAGAGGCAAAAAGCAAGATGAAGAGGCAGAACAAAGGGAAGTCAGAGTCAAGATCACGTCAACCCAAGTCAAGTGCCGTGTTCCTGCACAGCGCGGCTCGGCAAAGCGATGCGCGACAGCTCAGCCCTTTTGACAGCTTTTTTGGTACACACGCACATACGGGCAGAAAGGAAGGCTTCGATGCATGCATGGGCTGTCCTTTGGGCGGAGATGAATTTTCTTTTTGCTCCATTTTGTGTATTTCGTGGATCAGGCTCAGAGCTCTGACAACGTTGTCAAAAAAATCTGTCGAACTTGATTTCATCTCATCAGCTTCAACTCAGCCAGACACACAGTCGTCGAGTTCATTCCCAACGGAAGGAACAATGGGCGAGATTAAGCAAAATTGAGGCACTACACACTACAGTACTAGCGCGCCGAAAGGCCGAATGAAAGGTAAGACAGCCAGACCGGCAGACCGGCACTGCAACGCGATAGGGGTGTAATTGGCGCAATTCGGTTTGCTTGATGGGGATGAAATTGAAGGAACATGACAACATGATGTAAGAGAGATGAAAGGAACAACAGCATGGTAGCTTGGGTCGATGCCACGGTTGTGTGCTTGTGTGTGCTTGTGTGTGTTTGTGCGAGGGTAGAACACGAACAACGGACGTCGAACTCCGACAGCTCGATGACAGCTATCAACGCGCCACCTTTTTTTCGTTTTCCAAAATGCCAAACTGTGACAACAGCAGACGGTTGCCAAGCACTCCTTCTCGGCAGCCCTCCTCCGCAACAAGACCTCGATCGGCAACAAACTCGTGTGTTGACACTGTCAAATATAGCCTCCCGAATCCTTTGTAGCTGCAGTCATGGTTTCACTTTCACCTCAAGGCCATCAAGCCTAGGGCGATGCGCAAGGGCTGAAAGGGACGAGTGCTGCCGTAAACACGGCTCACAGACAGTCCAATGTGTACCACTGCTGCCCTACATGTAGATAATCCTCAAGACCTTAATCGAAATGCAATTCCGGTTCCAAACATGTCGTCTAGCCGTATCCAAACTCATGTATGCACTTTGTGAGACACGAAGGGCGAAGCAAGGCAAGGCGATGTGGTGCCGAACTCGATGCTGCTGTGGTGACAATCGCAGAGAGAAGCAGCTGTCGCCTGCTGCGTTTGGTTGCCGTGACTTGAGGCTCAAATCCAGAGATGTTTTAACCGAGAGACACTGTTCAGACGCCTATTTCGAGCTGTCCGAGTCTCTCACGATCGCGCGAGTGCCTTTTTTCAGGCCTTTTTTCAACCTGATCTATCTAAATCGCAACTTCGGCTTTACAGCTGTCGAAATTCCGAATCAAACAACACGGGTGTACACCCACTCGCCTGTCCTGCGTGTTCATTCGAATCTCTTGCCTTTTTTTTCTTTACTTCAAAAGCTGTCAACGACGCGAGGCCGAGTTCTGATTCCTAAATTCAGTTGACAGTGCAGATCAATGCCGTCATGAATTTGACCCGAGAAAGTTGCCCACAGCACGACTACACGCAGGGGTTGCAATTGTATTCGGCTTTTTTTTTTTTTTTTTTTTTTTTTTTTTGGCTTACAAATCCCTCCGTCTCTCTTTTTATCCGAAACCTCGAAAGCAAGCAAGGCAAATCAGGCCTTTGACTTTGGTAAAAAAGATTTTCTAAAAAAAAAAAAAAAAGATAAAAAAAAAAAAGGTTTGCTGCACAGCCTACACCCTCGCTCCATCACCGGGGTTTGCTTGTTACCGACTGAGAAAAGACAGAAGGTGAGGGTACAACTGTGTTAGCGAGACAGCACGTCCAACTCACTACCACTGATAAGCCCGAACGAAACAATGGGAAACACTCAAATGAATTGATCCGCCCGCTGTCGACCGCTGGTGACAGCGGACGGCAGACAACAGCAGCGCGCACGCACTTCCAACGACAGAAAACCGGAATTGGAATTCCGCAACGTTCCAACTGCTTTTCCACATCAACGTCCTCGCTGGTCACTTGGCCGATACACAAGGAGAAATGGAGATCGTGAAGAGATCATGAGAAAAAAAATTTGATTGCCTAACTCGGCTGAGTCGCTTGCGAGCTTCCGGGAGACGTTGGGCGAGCGTGCGCTAAAGTCGCGCTCCCGCTGGGTGACACATGTACCGGTCACGTGCCTGATCGCAAATTCGTTCAAGTCTGTGTCCGTAACCCGAACACTGTTTCAGTAATTTTGTTTTCTCGCGCGTTCTGAGAAAGGATGCACCAGAGCAGTGTCGATACGCATCGTCGTTCAAAGCTTTGTTTTCACTTTGCTTGCCGCGGCAGTTGGCAAAATGCATGAACTTGCATCTGTCATCCTTTTCAGCCTCTCCCCTTTCATGTTCCCTTTTCTTCTTCTGCTCAGAGAGTTCGAGGTCGGTGACCGCTTTGCATGCTGTCAAGATCACCGCATTGTCCTATTCGTGTTCCTGAGTAGCAGTAATGGCAACGCTTTGCCGTGGTTGCATACAGAGCCTGTGAGGTTCCACATCGAGCGACGCGGTGCGGACGGCCCCCAGACTCGTCTAGACCAAGACAGCTGTCACTTGCCCCAACCGAACTGACAGCTCCGAGTCATTAATAGCGTTAGCTACTAGTTACGTTGCAAACAGGGAGTTTGTTACAGCTGTTGGGAAGCCTACACATCGTATTGCTTGTCAGTGTTCTCTACAGCATCCCGGTTGCGTAAGGCTCGCCGCTCCAACACCTGCTCCTTGTGCACCGATGCTATCTATTACAAGGTTCAGTGCTAGGTCTGTACAAACTGTTTATCGACTACAGCCTGAGTCTGGTCCATCAGACGGAGATGTAAACTTGCTCCGGCAATACCGCACTAGCCTCGCCGTGTACTCAATCTATTGCTCACTGTCGTACATCAGACCTCGAAGCTTCTAGGCGAGCAAGGCAGGTCCGTGTACTGTACAAGGCTTGCTTACTTGCAGAAGCGACAGAACCCAAGAAGGAGAGGCAGAAACTGTGCGAAGGAGAGTTTGTCTATGCCGATCCAAGCTGAGAGTCGGGCTGCGAATTTCGCTTTCGTTCGGCAAACGTCACCATCGTAGCGCGTCTTCAGCTGCGGCGAGGTTGCGCAACCTCGACCAAATTCCGCTCTCATCCATCTGCTTCCGCTACACTAGCTCATAGCAATCGAACCTCACCCGCCTCGTGTCTTGATGAGAGTGAAAGCCGGAAAAACTTCTGCGTCGACATGATCGCCAATCCATCCCACCCTCCCCTCTTGCCACCCAAATTGAAATCAAATGGCAAGCTTCTCCATATAAGCGAGTTGTTTGGTTCCGAGTCTAGCCGAGGAGGTGTCCTTCACCCAGAATCAAGGTCATTGTTCGGGGATGTCAGACCGATATTGGATGAACAAGGTGCGAAAATGACGCGCCAAGGAACCACGCATGCAAGTGGAGAAAATGTAGGCGCTGCGCAGGGGCCCCTTTTCTCCAACTCACTAGGCGAGGTTACACCCTGACGTTTAGCTTTCGTCCACCTTCTCGTCCACATCTCTACGAATCCACCTTACCTGCACAGCACCATTCCTAAGAGAAGAAACGCGAGGGTAACACAAGGGCCAATCTTGTGATCGCGAGTTTCGGGGATGTCAAGACACAGTCAACGCCCAACCACATGGGGAGGAGCACAACCTGGATCTTCCTTTTCCACTCCTACTTCTCCTGGTGTTGAGGGTGGTGGTTTCGGATGTAAGTCCCCTCTTCCCCCCGTATCCCCCTCAAGCCCCTTCTGATTGCCCTCCACTGACACCAACCCTTTTCAGCATCACAGTCGAACCAAGCGTTCCCTCAATATACCGTCGAACGTGGTCCATTTTTGCCCAGTCCTCCTCTGACTCCGTCACATCCCCAACCGACGACATCCCCCTAAGCCTACTCCACAAGTTCTTCTCATCCTCTGGCGGGCTAGGTCCAGGCCAAGCAGAACGAATCGTCAACGCAGCGTGCAAGTCCAATCGCTGTTCACGCATCGAATTTTACACCGCTCTGGGCTTGTTAGTTCAGCTGCAACAGGGTGAGGGGTTGAATTTGGGAGTTGTACAGCAAAGGTTAGCGAGTGGAACACTGAGCGAGCCGAGACTTGATATGGATGCGATGGGGACTTGCGGTGGTGGGCATACCTTTCCACCGACAGCAGCAGCAGCAGGAGTGAGGCCGGCAGGAACGGTGAGAGAGATGAACGATCCTTGGAATGCCTCCACCTCTAATGCGTTCGGGGCGTATGAGGGTGTGGGCGGGAATAGTTACGATTCTGCTTTTAGAGGTGGCTTTGGTAGCAGCAACTCCGGTCCTTCCTCCTCACGAACGAAGAATAATCTCTTCGCGCATAACGGAGGCGCATCCACATCCACCAGCGACACTCTCCACCCTCCACCCCGTCAACCCCGCACGACAGCCCCAGCTCCCCGTCCGTTCAGCTACATGTCCGAAACAGCCGAAACCAACGCTCTTGACGCATCCCTTGACCCATCCGCCGATCTTCCCGAGGACATAATCACCGTTCGTCTCCGCTCCGGGCTGGAGGGATTTATTATCAAGCATAACGTATACATTGTCACCTCTTCACTCCGGGAGACTAGTGTCACTAGAAGGTACTCCGATTGGATATGGCTAAGCGAATGCTTGGCGAAGAGGTATCCGTTTCGGTGTCTGCCGGTGTTGCCGCCGAAGAGAATTGCGGTTCCGATTGCAGGCAGGCATCTAAGTGCCGAGAATCTATTTATAGAGAGGAGGAGGAGAGGGTTGGAAAGATATTTGAGGTTGTTGGTCTGTCATTCGGTGTTGAGGGAGGATAAGTTGGTGCAGGTTTTCTTGGAGGAAGTGAAGCCTGTTTCGGATTGGAAGCGGGAAGTTCCTGCGCTGTTCTTGGATGAGGAGGGGTTGGTGAAGGTGGTGAATGAAGCGGAACGAATGACGATTCCGGAAGATCTAGAGCTGAAGCTTACCCAGCAACGTCAAGCAATCCCAGAACTGCTCGAGAGGTGGACGAATATGGTAGCTCTATTCGAACGCATCGTGAAGCGGAATGATGCAGCAGCCGCAGATTATTCCAGACTCAACTTCTCATTGCTCAGCGTAGTAGAGAGTAGTAGCAAGAGATGGAGACCGGAAAGTGATAGAAGTGGCAAAACGGAAGAGGTTATCAATGTTACTGCTGGTGCGGTGCAGGAGTTCAGCGAGTTGCTTTCCTCCCGTGTGTCCTCTGTCTCCCTCTCTACTCTCGAGGGATTCAAAGCGCAGAGGGATCTCATACTTTCATTTCGCGACTTGATCTCACGTATCGACAGGCAGTTGGTGGATCCAATCGACCAACTCAAAAAGCGCATCGAAGCAAACCAACGCAAAATCTCAGCCCTAACCACCGCCACCCCTTCCAACCGCTCAGCAAGTCAAGACCAACAAGCAACCCTAACAGCACAAGTCAAACAAGATACAGCCTCCATAGCAAAATACTTGAACAGAAGGGTCCATGCGAAGAAAACCGTCTGGGAAGAGCTCATTTGGTTTCATCACCGGTTCAAAGCTGTTGAAGGGGAAATGGGCAAGTTTGTTCGAGATGAGAGTTTTTGGTTCGGGGAAGTGGGGAGAGCGTGGGAGGCTAGTGAGATGCGGTTGAAGATGATTCGTTAACCCACCACCAACTTTTGCGATGATGTTCGGTGATGGCGAGGGATTTTCGTTTAGGCTATTTGATTTCTGGTTGTGCAATCGTTTTCAACGCACCATCACAACGAAACTTCGTATCCAGGCTCCTGGTCATGCAATCGTTCCCAACCCATCATCACACATCAGTTTAAACGTATGAGCAGATCGTGATCGAAGTATTGCTGCGGTCAAGTTGTGACAGCACATCTAACGACAATGACAGCTGTCGCAGGATGTGTGTTAGGGAGACGTATGCAGCTACAATCGAACGATGCATACCAAAACTGCATGTGAGCAGAAATCGCTCAATTGGTGTATGGGTGGCGATTGTTTGCGCTTGGAAAAGCCGCGGGAAAGCAGAAATTGGCCGTGATAGAAGCCGGATATGCTGTGGCTGCAGAGTCAGCTGTGTTCCGAAACCTTTTTTTTTTTTTTTTTTTTTTTTTTTTTTTTTTTTTTATAAATACAGCGTTCAAAACCCGCTCGTACAACATACAAACGACGCGGGACTTTGCCCACGAACCCCACATTTCAGCTTAGTAGGGTTAGCATTGGAGGTTGGTGGTTGGATAAGGGAGTGCGGAGAAGCGGGGGCGGGAGTGTCAAATGTAGTGGCTGAAATTGTGTAGCATGACTCGGCGGGAGACGATCGCTATCGAAGAAATTCTCCAAGATTTGTACCTCCGCGGTGACCGTTCGAGAAATGCTGGTTCAACTTTGCTCTTCTTGCGGCTTTGTATGCATTTTCCCTCGTTCATTGTCCGAGGCCGAGGCGAGTGCGGGCCGGTAAGGTGGATTCCGGGATCCCTCTGCTCGTTACCTTTACCCGATAGAAGTGTTTGGCTGAGTTTTCGAGATTCCTCTTTTTCGCCATTCATCGCCACCACATCTACCTCCATCATCGCCCTCCCTTGCCTCGTCCGACTCCGTCTCAGATTTCGGCCCGATACAGCAGCAGATGACGCACCCGCAGTCTCCACAGACGATAAGTAGCAACTTGGATATCCGCGCATCATGGGTCGAGGTCGAAGACCGAATATGGCTTTAGAGCCGACTCGAGCATTACAAACCCAACGAGCGTTTCGACAACGAAAAGCAGAGCATCTGGCAAGTTTGGAGGAATCGGTTGCAAAGCTCACAGATGAAAATGCTAAACTGCGAAAGCTTCTCAACCTCCCACCCACCCCGAAAGAAGATGTTGGCGATAGAAGTCGCAGTTCTTCACCAACACGGGCAGGTGTACCAACACCAACATCGACCGAATCAGCACAATCGTTATCAGGAGGATGCGATAACTGCGAAAGAATGCGAGAAGCGAATCGACAGCTAGCCTTAGCTGCAGCACAGGTGGAAGAACAAATGTCGCATCTACAGCAATCGATCAAGGCGTTGAGGTCGGTTTTGCAGCATCATAACATTCCGATACCTTCACCGCTTGTGGGGTCTACGGGGTCTCCTGTGACGGCGGCGATGGGAGAGAAGGTGTACAGGCATACTAAAAAGACGAGGTATAGTGCTGATCCGTTGCTGCAACCGCAATTGCCACTGTTGTCGGATGCATCACCTTCGACGACGGCGGTCAGTGGGATTCAGATGACGTCGAACTATCTTGGTGCTGCTTTACCTTCTTCTGCTGTTGCTAGTCATGAGCAGTACCACCAGCAGCAACAGCAGTATGCATCCTCCAGTCGAAGACCGAATCCCATCACCACATCAGGGACGCAAGCATGGCATACTCCAAGTCCATCCGCAATCTTGTCAGCACCAACACCGCCCTCCGCCTCGTTCAGCCCGCGTCACGCATATATCAGCCATAACAACAGCGCACATCCATCACAGGCTGAGGAGAGCTACTACAAGAGTAGACATCCTCCAGCGAGGCAGAACTCGGGAAATAGCACGAGTGGCAGTGGCAGTAGCAGTGGCAGTGGAAGCAACAGCAGGCAACTACCACCACCAAATGCAGGGGTGGAGATGAGTCCAGCGCGTCAAGCTGCTCATCTTCCGCCTTGGTCAGGACACGGGCACAATGGCGCGATAGGTGTCAGCTCGCCAGCGAGTATGGGAAGATATCATCTGGCTCTGCCAGCGTTGAGTCCGCATTCGAATGGTAATTGGTATCATTCTCCTTCCAGCTGGTCCTATCCGAGCACAAGCACGGAAGCTGGGCCAAGTGAAGGCTACGCAAGATCTAGCACGAGCAATGGCAGGAGAGGAGAGCGTGAAGATTACGCCTACGAGCCACAGCAGCAGCAATACACCTACGGAGGCAGATACGCACGCATTGCACCGTTGTCGTCAGCAGCTTCACCGTCGTATGCTGCCGCGCAATCGCCGTACGATCCTCATCAGCAGGCGGTTGCTTCACCTCGATATCCACCGCGCGACAGGGATGATTCGGAAGCTGGAGGGGCAGGCAGGTACGTTGCTTCCAACTACGGTTCTGTGTCGTCTCATCGCAGTTCGGGCCCTGGAGAAAGGGATCAGAAGTCAAAACGTGGTCCGCCCAACGCGAGCAACGGGGACACGCAAGTAAAGAAAATTTGCTGTCCTCCGAAAGCATCTTTGTCGTCTAGTACAGGCGCGCAAGCATTATCTCGCGGTTGCGGTCCGAAAGCGGAGCAAGCGAAGCCAGATGAGAAGAACCAGGCGAATTGGACTGCACCCCCACCGCTTGGCGTCACTTTTGACATGCGCATCGACGCAAAGAAACAGTTGGATAATCCGGATGCCCAGCCACCAGCGACCCTCGAGGACGGCAAGGCGCAAGACGATGACGAGTGCTGCTTCGGCCTGGTTAATTGCGATGATGACGGTCGGATTGTCATCTGAGATCGCAATCGCATTTTTACAGTAAGCTTCCGGCTTTTCACCGCGAAACATGGACACGCATCCTCTTTTCACAGTCTGTGTTTGTGTGTGTCACCGAGCGAGCTCGAACATGTGTCCATCGAGCAGGACTGAGGTCCTTGTCGACTCTCGCGGTAGTCTCACTCAAGCAGATCCAGAGTCCAATCGTTCACCCAGGCAGGCTCCTTGACACAGCATGCGATTTGACCGGTATATGCCCATTATCACTCAAAAGTATTGTGAAATAGGGCCGGGTATCGATAGCTAAGAAGGCCAAGACAATTCCACCTGATCTCCATCTTCAACATCCATGTCTGCCACTGTCTGTCTTGGCTTGAATGCGAATCCATCAAACATGACCTTGATCTGATCTGGCTTGATCTTGTCTCCGAGATTGGCTGGCACGAGTTGTTTTGTATGGAAGTGGGTGGTGATGGTCAAGAGCTTGGTTGCCGGTGTTACTGTGACTTGCATCGGTCCCAGTTTGGATTGGAGGGTGAGGTCAAGTGTTTCTTGGTCCGCAGCGCCGCTCGTCCCGATGTCGCCGGCATCGTCGTCGTCGTCGTCACCGTCAACAGCTTGCGAGGTGCTGGGATGGTTGCCATTCGTCTTTGATGCGGGCGCGCCGTCGTCATCCGAGTCGTCAATGACGATGGCAGCGTCCTTGCCATTCTTGCTGGTGGCCTGACTTTGACTTGCTGCGTTTCCAGCTGCTGTAGATGAGCGCGTGCGTCGTGGTGAGGTATTTGGCTTTGTTGGCCTTGCTACAAACTCAACGCTGTCGTCTGTGTCGTTGCCATCCTCGACGATGCGAATCGCACCTGACCTAGCCTGTGGAGCTGATTGTGTTCTTGAGAACTGTGCCTGTCGCTCCGAAGGTCCTGGATTTGAAGACGGCTGCTGTCGTATGCGCTCCAGTTCTCGCTGTTTCCTCTTGGCGTCCCGTTCCTGTTGCTCGCGTTTTGCTTGTTCTCGAATGTGTTTTGCGTTCTGTCCCCGCATCAACCGCGCGAGATCAGGATCCCAGTTGATCTGATTGAGGCTGTCAACATCATCATCATCATCGTCGACCACGCCTGCGCCACGCCGTGGAGACCCAGGTGACAGGACAGATGAAGATGCTGTACCGTTACCGACACCTAGAGTAGCAGAGCTGCGAGTACTCCGACGCAATGCTGGAGCAGTGGCGGTGGAGCTGGAACCGTTTGCTGTAGGTGCCGTGGTGGAAGGGGCTGGGATCTTGCTGCCCATGACTCTGGATACCAGATCGCAAGCTTTGGACAGCTTTTCAGGTGAAGGTGGCGGAGGTGGCGTGAGACTGACACCGCGTTCGCGCCTTCCATTTGCATTCGGCCCTCCTGCTGCGCTGCTATTTGGTGCTCCATTTCCGTCAGTGGTGTCGGCGGAAGCTGTCGCGCCGTTGCCTTTGCTAGCGCTCGGAAGCACAGATTGTGCATCGTGAAAGACGTCCGTAGACAAGGAGAAGCTCGGCTCTTGTGATAGACGCCGAAAGACGCCTTGTGATGCCCAAGCTGGTAGGACCTTGGTGTGCTTCTTCTTGCGCCTTTTCGCTCGGCGTTTCGTAGCAGTGTCGCTGTCATCGCTCGACACGTCCACGTCGCTGCTGTACATCAGCGTGTCCGTGTCCTCATCGTCTTCATCGTCGTTCCCGACAACATCCTCGTTGTCATCGTCCGAGTCGCCAATGACTTGTGCTGCTACCGAAGATGATGCCAATGCTGATGGCGCAGACACAGTGGCAGAGGATGAAGGGGTTTGTGTGCCATTCCTCCCTGAACCTTCACCAACCTTGTCATTGATGCCATTGGTGGACTTGGCTAGCGCTTTAGGTTTATCTTTGGCTTTCGACTTGCTCGGCAAGGGTCTGCGTGTGAAAAAGTCGACGTCATCGTCGTCCATGTCTGTCTTTGTCTAGGAAGGCGAGGGCAATGCAGTCGAATGTGTGGGTTTGCGGGTTGTGGTGGCACAGACCCTGCAGCAGAGTTTGTGTGATATCGCAGATACCGTTATGTATCGTAGCCGTTCAACAAGGATGTGCTGGCTATATATGAAGGAGAGGATGCCGAGGCTGAGTCGGTATGAGGAGACGAGAAGACGTTGGGAAAGAAGGACAAGAAAGCAGCACAGAAAAAAGTAAAGAGAAAGTTGAGTGTAGAAGAATCGCTGCTGCTGCTGTTGCTGCTGCTACGCGTAGGAATTCAGGGTTCAGCCAAAGCAACACAGCAGCAGAGCGCGTCAAATCCGTGTTCCTCTCTTCTTTTTCTTCTCTGCTCCCGATCTTCACTATCCTCAAACCGTTCGATCAGATTTGAATCGGGTGATGAAGCAACACAGCGCTCAAGCCTTCTTGCTTCACTTGCCTTCAGCTGAAAGTGACACGTTGTTCGTTATTCTTCTAACCCACTAACTGGCTCCATCACTACGACTTTCCTTCTGTCATAGCACTTCTCCTAACATCGTCACTGAGGACAGAACCATCCTCTGCTACGCCTCAATCTAGCCTGAACTTGTCGGTAGAATTTGCCTACACCACTACGCCGTCCAACCGCATTCTCGGCTCGCATTCACCAACGCCTGCAGCTCGCCCACCATGTTCGCAGAAGAACTGGCCTCACTACGCCGACAAGGCCTACGATCGATCCTCTTCCAAGTTCTCAACTTTGTCTCGGTCGTATCAACAGCCTTGGCAATGTGGAAAGGGCTTTCCGTCCTCACCGACACTGAATCCCCCGTAGTTGTAGTCCTCTCTGGCTCCATGGAACCTGCATTCTACCGAGGTGACATTCTCTTCCTCTCGATGCCGAGTGGACCACTTAAAGTCGGCGATATCCCCGTATACAAGGTGCCAGGAGCAGACATTCCGATCGTACATCGTATCATCGAAACGCACGACGCACCCAATGGTGAACAACTCATTATGACCAAAGGCGATAACAATGACAGCGACGATATTGCTCTGTATAACGGTGCGAGATGGATGAGGAGGTCGAACATGGTCGGCAAGGTTAGAGGGTAAGTAGCTCACCCGTATCCGAACTTGTGTCACCGAGTTGATAACTGACGAGGAAGTGTTCTAATGTTTGATGTGACAGGTACGTGCCATATGTGGGTTATTTGACAATCGCACTCAACGACTATCCCAAGCTCAAATACCTTCTTTTGGGCATCATGGGCCTGTCGCTGCTTTTCCAGAAAGAGTAGAATACATATACATCTGCCAAGGCCACTCGCAATCCATACTCTCGTACATGTCTGTCGCTCGGGCTGTCGCCTGTGATGTGTGCAAGCTTGGCTTGTTCGTGCTTTTCACCCTCACCCTCCTAAAAACGGCGAAGTCGACATAACCTCTTTGGCCTGATCGCTCCCCAGTCCCACCTTGTTCTTCAGCACTCATGTCCCAAGCCGACCAGCTCAAACTTCAAAAACACTGTCACAACTCAAACAGCCGCAGCCAACCACTCGTTTTGAGCGTGAAAGAATGTGTATACGATTGGTAAAACTTGAAAAGACAAAGAAACGAAAACAAGAGAGTGTGTAGGTGTGTATAGACGTCATCGGTGTCCAGACCGACAACTTTAAATGTCCAAAAAAGCTAATTCCGTTACGACAAAGAAATAAACTAAAAGTGAAGCGAAGTAGAAAGCGAATAGAATGCGGCGGTAATCAAAGCAGAACCGAGTTGGACATCATCTCAGGACGACCGATGGTGGAACTAGCTACACTTCCACGGCGACGTGTTCGGTTGACGCTGTTCGATCGAGGTGGTGGTGTAGCACCGAAGGTGTGGATGGTTGTGTGCTGTCGGGGGACACGGTAATCGTCTTGATAGGTGGAGAGCATGCCAGCGGATTCGGTGCTGTGTTCGCTGTGCGAGCCATGCGAGTTCGAGTGGTCTGAGGTAGAGTGGAAGGAACGACGAGAAGATTCGTAGTCGTACTGGATGCGTTGAGCTTCGGTCATCTGGCTCACGTCCGAGTAGGTGGACCGCTCAGTCATTCGACTTGAGCGGTTCATGTTGACATATCCGCCAGCAGCGTTGATGTTGGCAGCATCGTGGAATGGATCTGTTGCGACGTAGCCGCCGAAACCATCCGCGTGCGATTGCATTGGCTGTGCTGGATGCCCAAACGCCATACCCATTCCCGGGTCGTGAGGTGTCCAGACCTGTTGCATCTGACCAACCGTAGCAAGCGCTCGGTGCTGATCCAAAGCATCAGGAGCCCACGTCTCACGCAATCCACCACTAAACGAACGAATGGTATGCGCACGCGAGATGCCACCACCGTTGTTGCCACTAGCCGCAGCCTCAACCTTATCCTTGCGCTGCTTGCGCCAGAGCAAGCCACCAACAGCAATTGCAAAGAATCCTGCAAGACCACACCCAACACCAATGAGACTGTTGCGTATCTTCGACTCATCCTTGCCATCACTGCTGCCTGAAGTGGACTTCTGCTGGGCACTCGCTGCGACCTGACCAGCCGCACTGAGGATGTTGAAGGTAGGATCGACCTGACTTGCCAACTGCTGAGGCGCACCGGCAGCTGCAGAAGTGTAGAACGGTGAAGAAACGTTTGAGACCATAGCTTGGATATCCTCGACGTTCTCTGTGGGTACATAGGCCATGTACAGCGTCCTGGCCGTGGTGAGCGTGCCAGTGGTAGCAGCATCACCGGTCTCGGGCGAGTAGCTGGCCAGTTTGACAGTCGAGATCTTGGACGCGTCGAGACTGACGGCCTGACCAACAAGCTCAGGCATGAAGGCAAAGATCTGGGCGGTCAAGTCGGCTTGAGAGATGACCCAGGTCCACTTCATGTCTTGCTTGAACAGAAGACCGATGGAAGTGGTGTTGTCAGGCTGGTCATACGAATCAGCCGAAGGAACGATTGTGGTGGGGAGGTCTTGTGGCGACGCAGTGCTGGGTGTGTTGTTGTCCGAACCAGGAAGCCAAGCGGTCGAACTGTCAGGATGGTTGTGGGTATCAGTGCTACTGTCGCTGTCGGTGCTCTGTGACGCAGTCTCTTTTGGCTGCTCGGCAGAAGAAGTGCTGCTGGGCGCGAGGTTGAGAGACCGTGTGTTGGCGTACCAGTAAGGGTTGGTGGTGTTGGTTGCGCTTTGCGAGGCTGATGCTGAGCCCGAGCCCGAGCCCGAGCCATTGCCCGAGTCAGAGCCGTTAGAGGCAGTCGAAGTCGGGGCATGCGCGGCAGTGTTGGACGCAGAAGACGATTGATGATCCGCCGTGGAGACCGAGTCGGATCCATTGCCAGTGTTGGTGCCTGTGGGAGCTGTGACTGAACCTTGCGACGTCGAAGTGGGGCTTGTCGTCACAGTGCTCGATGAACCGGTGCGATCGTCAGTGGAGGTTGCAGTGCTTGTCTGAGATGTAGTGCGATCGTCAGTGGAGGTTGCAGTGCTCGTCTGAGATGCAGTGCGATCGTCAGTGGAGGTTACAGTGCTCGTCTGAGATGTAGTGCCATCACTGCCGCCAGCGCTGTCGGTCGGGGCTGATCCATCCGCAGTGGTGGTGGAAGAAGCACTGTTGCTCTTGCTAGTCGGGCTCTGGTCCGAAGATCCGTCCTTGGGGTTCGCACCATTGGAAGAATCTTTAGACGACGAAATGTTATAGTCGGCATCAGCGCCAGTGTTGGACGCAGACGAGCCACCATTGTTGGAGTCGGAAGACGAAGCCGTCGGCGCAGGCGTCGCTGTAGCAGCATCCGAGGCTGAGAGTAAGTGGCCAAGCCCTGGCAAGATGCCGTGCAGTAGACCTTCGCTAGTCGACGACGACGGCGCAGCCTGAGTGGAAGAACCTGTTGGCTGCGGCCTGAAGCTGTAAAAATCGGGCTGCGTTGTCTTGGTACTGTGGCTGGACGAGACTGGTGTGTCGTCGCTGTCATCGTCATCATTGTTGTTGCTTGCTTGCGAAGAGGTGGAAGCAGGCGACGCAGATGAAGATGTCGCCGACGGCGAGCTGGCACGACTGGGCGGATGCCCGGTGGAGTCTTGGTCGTCATCATCGTCGGATGATCCAGTGCTGCCTTGTTGGCTTCCGAAAGTCTGCTGTGCAGCTTGCGAGGCCGAGGTGGAGGAAGGGCTCAGTAGAGGGCCGAGGAGACCGCCCAAGCCGTCGCTGCTGCGAGAGACAGAAGTATGGTTGGGTTGAGTGTCGTCCGAAGATGAGTCATTGTCGTCCTTGGAAGCAGATGAGGCAGGTATACTACTTGAAGCAGTTCGGCTGGGGGGAGCGTTATCAGCGTCTGAAGAGTTGGCAGAAGCGGTGGAGTTGTGCAAGAATGTGGAATGCGAATGCGAAGTGGGTGCGACGGAGGGCGTCGCCGCGGACGATGTTGTATTGGAGGTAGAGGTCGAGTTGCTGGTGGGAAGTGCAAAGCTGGAGAATGCGGTGCCAGTAGATTCTTTCGAGTCTGTGGCAGGCCGTGTTCGATGATGGGCGTGGTGCGAGGTGGATGTGGTGTTGGTGCTGTTGGAGGCGGGGACGTATAGATTGCTGTCCTCAATCTCTTCTTCGTTGAGCAGCTTCTCGATTTGAGAAGGGGTGAGACCGAAGCGGTGATGTCGCTGTTTCCTTTTAAGGGTAGGCGTGTTGGTGCCAGAGACAGGAGGGAAGCGCTTTGATAGTCGACCTGCGCGAGCCGCATGACGTCGAATGGCGTTGTCAACAGGAGCACTGCCATCGTGGCTGTTAGCGACGACAGATGTGGTCTGAAGGCCGAGGAAGACGACGAGGTTCAAGCTGACAAGCATCAGCTTGAATATAGGCTGAAAGGCGACCATGATGACTGAAGTAAGACCAGAAGCCGAGAACTGGGAATGTGTTTGCAGATGATGAGTTGGTCAGATTGCGATGATAGAAGTCGAAGCAATGCGAAGGCGAGCCGGAAGTTGAAGCAAAGAGACGATTGAAACAGAAGCCGAAAGAGTGTGAGCCGAGACTGTAAGGAGCAGGGTCGAAGGCGATTCAGGCAAACGTGACAAAGTCACAGCCAGAAAGGTTGAGAGGTCGGGTGGCAGTGAGAGAGGTGTGATGTGGAAAGATGATGGAGGCTGTAGGAAGATGGGGATGATGACACAGGGATGGATGAGGGGAAGGATGATGGCCAAGCAATCGCACGGGACCGGTAATACCGATGGATGGGGACAGGAGGTGGAAGAGGTGGAAGGGAGATGTGAGGCGAGCGAAACTCACCTGAACTCAAGAGTGGCTGAAGGCAAGGGTCTGTTTCAGTAATGAAATGGGACCGAGTCGGCAGGTGAAGGTGATGCAAACGCAGTCAGGACAAGCTGAAAAGCTGCGAGCTGCTGATGCGACGCGGTCTGAGCGTAGACCAAAGGGGGGGGGGGGGGGGGGGGGGGGAGCTGCAGTGATTTGCAGACAAGTCGAATGCTGAAACGGTCCAAGCTTGTCAAGATCAGCAGCTAGCGAAGGAGTGAGACGGCTAGAGCAACTGTGATGGGGTGATGCGTGTTGATGCACAATGCTGGAGGCAGATGTGTGGGTGTGAGATGCACGGTAATGAACCAATGTGCAGAAGAATCGAGGTCAATGGATGACAGATGTCCTTGACAACCGTCAGCAGAGACAGGACGACGTATTCAGAAGAGATGAAAGATATATGCAAGCCACAGAGCCGGTCTGTGAGGTGCGGATGAGGAGGTGGGCACGGAGCGTGTGGTGACGGTGTTGTAAAAGAAAACGAGCGTAGCGTGGCGTCGGTACGGACAGCGGGGAGTGAGGAAGATGGCGTGAGTGGAGCGGAGTGGCGGTATGCTAGAAAGGGAAGGGAAGGAAGGGAAGGGAAGGAAGGGAAGGAAGGGAAGGAAGGGAAGGAAAGAAAGGGAAGTGAAGGAAAGGTGAGTTCCGAGATGAAGTGAGACGAGGTGGTCAAGCTGGTGAATGAAGATGTAGAGAAGGTGGTCGGAGAGTTGGATGTGAGAGGCTCGACGAACCAGCGAGGAGCAACAAACACGGAAAGATGAACGAGGCGAGGCCAGGAAGAGATGAAGTATAACCGGCGGTGCGTAGATGCGGGGGGGGGGGGAAGGGAAGGAGAGAGGAAGAGGAAGGATGCAAGAATGAACGAATGAAAGCCAAGGTTGGCGGAGAAGGCAACGACGACGACAACGACGACTTAGTTACGAAGCGAATCTCGAAACCAAGTCATGGTATCTTTCCCTTCTTCTCAGCAAGTTGTAGGAGGCGATGTGAGGGTGAGGAAAGGTAAAGGCGGCGACAAGGACAATACGAACGAGTCAGAGCCAAGAAAGACGTGTGACCGAGGCAGAGCAGCAGAAAGCACACACAGTCCGGAGAGAGAAGAGGCCAAATGCACACTAAAGCGCCTCACAACTCGATCGCCGAGCTGTTCTGAACAGACCCGCGCTGGAGTGCCAAAGAAAGAGAAGAAGAAGGAGAAGGAGGAAAAGGAGAAGAAGAAAAGAAGCATCTCGGCTTGGAATTGAGCAACCCAACGATCGGAACGACGCTGGGGGCTCCTGAGACCGAATCTAGCGTGTGAGCCAGGCACCCTCAAATCGCTGCTGCTCTAAAGCTGCTTCTCCTTGAGTATGCCATTGCAGCATGCTCCAGGCACAGGCGAGACCGAGAAGCGACGGATCTGCGAGCCTTTTTTATTATAATTTCAAACTCAACTTGACTTGTGTGTGGTTTGAGGCACATGCTTGAATTGCTGTCTGTCTCTCCTTGCCAACCTCCTGCCGAACTCTCTTGTTCTCAGCCTTCTCAGCAAAAGCGAGCGGCATGTCGCAGCTGAGAACAACACTGATACCTCGCAGATCAAGGCAACGCGCTTCCCGAATACAAGATCAGCAAGTCGAATACAAAATTCAGAAAAGACCCTCAATTCTAAAAATCAGCCTGTGTTCGACAGGGTTAACTGCCGATGATCACGTCCTTTCAGCTGCTTGCTTGCCAGCGGAGCAAATTGGATCGACTCCTGCTTCTCAAGGCTCGGCTCGTTTAGCAACTTGCCCACCTTTGCCTAGCGTGTCGGCCTCTTTCAACTCGACAAGGTTCGAGTTCCGTGCTGGATAGCTTCCACGGTGCGCTTATTAATCAGCAACCGCTACTAAGCTCCTCTTCATGTCCGAACAGCCCTCTTACCGCTCAAAACTCGACGAGAACAGAGAGGCACATCACTGAAACTTCTCTCAGTCACACACACACACACACACACACACACAGCTTAGTCAGCAGCCAACCTGAAATCCTCTCCTTCGGTCGGAGAAGACTGACGCTCAACGCCCGTTCTCGTGCTGCTCTGGCACACCCGCAACATTCTATTGCTCGCCAACGCTCTCAGTACAATCTATCATCAAAAGCTGCGAATGGAATTGCATAGTCGATGCTCTCCCTTCTGTAGCAACACACGTCTATCTTTAGAGCTTCTCAGCGTTGCAGCGAGCCGAGGAGAGAAGAAAAATCACCAAGAATTTAGAGAGCTTTGGTGAGCAAGCTGTTGTCAAGCAATGCCTCCGATGCAATTTCACTTACCATCGCCGATTTTGGCCCGATCCCATTTAGTTGAAGATGCGTCGGCATCTCAAGCAAGGTGCACGTGTTACGGCCGAGACATCGAGATACGGGAGGCTCACATAAGCGAGGAGCACAATGAGGTACGCAATTGTTGTCATGGTGACAGCACAGTGGCACCCGGTATCATAGCAACACAGGGGTACAAATGAAGGAACACACCCTGCCTCGGATGGGATCAGAGCAGTGAATGGAGTATATATATGTGTTTGTCATTTAGTCTCACACTATGAAAACTAAGCATTACATAGAACATACGGCTGTGGCAAAGGGAGTCTGATCGTGACCCCGATAACGCCGTATATTAATTGTTATCTTCAATTGATTAAGAGTCTGAAGAAGCTATCACCGAGCTAACCGAAAACTCGCCGACAACCATGGTAGAAGACACCGAAACGAGGACTAAAGGAAGCAGAAAAGGCAAGAACACCCAGGTTCGGGTCGACAATAATGCCACGAGCGAGAATGAGCCGGAGGCCATCAACGATGAAGCCGACGGAGACACCGATTCGGACTCCGACTTTGATGATGGCGACAAGCGATATAACTTTCGCACCCTAGCAAAGCTCCTTGAACCTGTGCCAAAGCTCACGTCACGAAACTACCATAGCTGGAGCGCTCACGTGAAATCCTTCCTCCGATCCGTGCCTCATGCGATGAAACATCTCGAGGGAACGTACGACAAGAAACACCCGAAATGGAGCCGCTCCCTTGACGATGCTTTAATTAACGCCCTGCGTGGAACAATCGATACTACCGGAGAACACAATATAAACTACCTCGTTCTAGATGTAATCAAGGAGTACCTTACTTTCAACCAAGTATGGAGAAAGATCGAAAACGGTCTCACGAATGAAGCCACCAAGACGTCCCACAGACTTGCGCTTATCTCGCAACTCAACGATGCAAAGATGTTTCACTCGGATGCCAGAAAGCTAATCCAAGAGATCCGGTCCATACAAACTGAAAGCAGTCTCCTCGGAAAACCATTCGCCGATGATACATTGTTCTCGGCCCTGCAGAAATGCACGATCCGGCATCCGGTGTACAAGGAGACGGTTGCCACCGTCCATCAAATCGACTTCAACGCCCTTGCCACCGCATTAAGCATCCGGCAGACTGCTGTCGAGAGTGTCCCCGCGCAAAGGATCGACCCCCGACAAGCCAGCGCTAGAACCGCCGGCAACGACGATCAAAATGAACGGGCCGGAGAGACCGAAGCCGAAGCCGACAACAGCCACGCGAGCCCGAGGAACGCAAGCAAACCACGCCAAATCCGATGCTGGATCTGCAAGCGACCGGGACATGGTATCAGCCAATGCGACGCCTTGGTTACCATTCCCAAGGACTCTCCCCTCGCTGAACCCAAATAGGAAGCGTGGTGCTCCCTCACCCTCCCAATGAAATGGCAGGACCCCTCGAACCCAAAAGAAACAGCTCATTGGATCTTGGACTCGGGGGCGAGTTATCATATGGTGAAAGACTACAGCATGCTCATTCACCCGAGAACTTGCCGAAAGCGGATAATTACCGCCGGAAGCGAGGTCTTGGAAGCGGCAGCTATAGGAGATGCGAGCATATCAACAGATTACGGGGAAATCTCTCTGCAAAATGTATTGTATGTAAAGCACCTTAATGTTAACCTTCTGTCAACAAATTCATTAACGGATGAAGGAGCACGAGTGATACTGGACACAACCGGCGGCCAAATTTTCTTAACAAACGGCATGACACTTAAGATTGCAAAGAATCGCGAGCGAGGACTTCTGGAGTTCCGAGGCGACACATGGCAAGAAAGCGCGATGGCCACATCAGCACCATTGTTTGAAGGTGTTGATGAGGAGTTCGAGCATATTAAGAATGAGCCGAAAGTTTCAAAGCAACAACTATGGCATGAGCGTCTCGGGCACCCAGGAAGAGATAAAGCGAAGGCGATCACAAACAAGTTAAAGGATAAGCATACCATGAAATTGGATCCAAACACCGCTCTGACATGTGAGCAGTGCGTACGATCCAAGAGCACAAGCGCTCGGATGGGGAAAGGTAGCGGCGAGAGAGCCGTAGGGCCCCTGGATCTTATCCACGTCGATCTAATAATAGACTCGTCCCACGTGACGGAGTACACATGCACGTTGGTGCTGGTCGACGATCATAGCAAGTATGTGTATGCACAGCCATTGACACGAAAGAGTCATGCCTTTATGCAACTTAAAAGAATTGTTTCGTTCCTGGAGACACAGACGGATCGGAAGCTAAAAGCGATCCGATCCGATCAAGGAACAGAATGGAAAAGCAATGATGCATTAGAATGGTCGCTAGAAAAGGGCATAGAGTGGCAAACCACCGTAGGGTACAACAGCAAACAAAATGGACGGGTAGAGAGAATGAACAGGACCCTTGGAGAGAAGATGAGAACGTTGCTAATGCAGAGGAGACTGTCAGGGGTCTCGCGCCTGAAACCCAGGTCGGTCCGTCGAGATACTCGGTGACTATCAAACTGTGCGACAGCTATTGTCTCGAGATACTCGGTGACTATCAAGTTGTGCAGTGACAGCAGGTGGCGTTTGTTGTATATACTATCGTAGGTTTCGGCTGACCTCTGTGGACACTCCGTTCAGGGGTAGCTCGGCACGATCGATATCAATGTTATGATGACACCAAGGTCTGGTGTGAGTGTTGATGATGATGAGGTTGATGGTGTTGGTGATGGGATTGGTGATGTCGATGATAATGAGGTTGATGGTGTTGGTGATAAGGTTGGTGGCGTCAACACGAGTGTCCAGTGTGTTGACTTGATGCTTGAAGTGATCCCCGGACCGCAGTGGACTACTGCCTTCGGTTCTATCTATATCCGGACCGCTAACCTGCTATGGGCGCCTTCGGACGTCAGGTAGTGGTGATACAACACACACACTACGATGAGGAGCAACCTTGATAGATTGCTGCTATGCTGACTGAAACTAATGTATACTTATGCTGAAGTGATAACTAGTTATGGTGAGTAGAGTGGATGGGGATCCACTCGACCTATGATGATGAGAAAGCATGGTTATATACCTCTTCACAGCATCGCCAGCGATGCTGCTCCTGCTCTCTCTCTCCAGAGAGTACTTTCTTCATCGAGTACTGCTCAGGGGCCTCTCCTGCTTGGCACCCCTGTGCCTCTTGTCGACACTGCTCCTCCTCCTCATGACCTGTGACAGTTCCTTTGGCTCTTGTCTCTCGAGCCCCTGAGTGGTACCCATCTGCATGCTCCTTGAGCTTGGTCCTCTTCGTGGCTGTGCCTGCTCCTTGAGCTTGGTCCTCCTCGCATGTGAGTCCATAGGAGTCCATGGTCTCCATGGAGACTGCACTACGACCATGCTCTCTACTGGTGTCGACTAGGTCTTCGATACCTGTGCTCCTTCCATATGAACCCATGACCCTCCTGCTTCTTGAGCATCCAGGCCCATGACACTACCCCCCTCTTAAGAGCCGAGCTCCGTCGAGGCATGCTCTGGTCTGGTTCATGCTGGCTCCTCCTCCTTGACAACATCGCCAACATCATCCTTCCTCCTTCTCTCAACGTCATCCTCCTCTCTCTACTCCTCCTGTTCTCTACTTTGTCTACTCACTCGTCCCCCCTCCGACACCTCATACTCCTGGATGAGGTCGGGACAGTTGAGGTTCTCTACTGGTTCCCATGAAGCAGCTTCTTCTGAGTACCCTCTCCACAACACCTTGTACTCTGTAGTCCCATGGTTTGAACGCTTGTCGATGAGTGCTTCGACTTCGAAGTCGAGGTCCTCATCTGGAAGTGGTGGCATGGTGGGCTGTTCAGCACGTTGAGGAAGAGAACTTGTTCTTGCTGGCTCGAGCATGGAGACATGGAACACATCATGCACCCTAAGGTTTGCTGGCAATGTGATTCGGTAAGCTCGGCGTCCTACCCGTTCCTGAACTGGGTAGGGTCCTGCAAACCGGGTATCCAACTTGGGTGTGGGTCTCCGTGTCTTCCAGTTTCGGCGGTTGATATAGACCATATCACCCACCTTAAACTCGATGTCCTTGTGCTTCCTGTTATACTGGTCTACTGATCTACGTTGTGCCTCTCTGATCTGCTCCTGGAGGTACTTGCAACGCTCCTTTCCATCCATGAGGTACTCGAAGCGACCTGGATCATTGACTCCTAGTCGTTGAGGGATGTCAGGATGAGCTTTGGGGTTCCATCCATAGCATGCAAAGAATGGTGAGACACCAATGCTGTTGTGGACCGTGTTGTTATATACAAAGGCCGCAGTGTCCAGCAGGTTGGCCCAGTCATTCTGCTCATAGTTGCAGTACATCCTGAGATATTGCTCTATGACCTGATTGACTCTCTCTGTCTGACCATCAGTTTGAGGATGGTAGGCCGTGCTAAGTGAGTGCTTCACACCCATTTGCTCTGCAAATGCCTTCCATGCTCCTGATATGAACTGCCTGCCTCGGTCCGAGACCATGTGATCTGGGTATCCGAAGAGTCTAACCATGTGTCCATATAGCAATACTGCAGTCTGTTTGGCTGTGACTGTCTTATGGGTTGGAGCTAGTATGGCAAACTTGGTTAACCTGTCGACGATGACTAGGATAGAGTCATAGGTCTTGGAGTCATACTTCTTTGATGGTGGTAGTCCTTCAATGAAGTCGAGGGATATGGAGCCCCAGGGCCTGTCTGGGGTTGCTAGTGGCTGTAGCAAACCATATGGACGGTGACGAGGAGCTTTGTACCTAGCACATACAGGACAACTTGCTACATAGTCTGCAATCCAAGCTGTCATGTTTGGCCACCAGTAATGTCGTTGAGCTGCCTTGATGGTAGCATCTCTTCCTACGTGTCCAGCAGTGATACCATCATGGCATTGGGTCATCACCATGAATCGCAGATGCTCTACAGAGAGAGACTGTCCATCTACCTCTTTGGCACTCCTTGAGTGTCGGTTGTTGGTCCTCCCTGGCATGATCACCTTGGGGATAACCAATCTTCCTCCACTGTACCATAGGTCATCCTTGAGTTCGAAAGGCTTCTTCCTATGTATCTCCTGTAGCTCTTGGTCTAAAGGCTGGAAGATCTTGACCAGGTCTTTGAGACCTTTTGATGCTATGGACTCCATCGAGATCATGGGGGCCACTAGGAGCGAGTCATGGTCTGCTGTCTCCTTGAACACTCGAGGAGGCAGTAGTTGCCTCACATTGTGATCCTGCTCTTCACCAGCTGGTTGCATGTCTGTCCTTCTGGTGAGAGCATCGGGTTCACCACCTTTGTCTCCTGGTCGATACTGCAATATGAAGTCGAAGTCTGCTAGTAGTATGGCCCATCGAGCCTGTCGACCTGTGATGCGTCTCTGTGACTTGAAGTACTTGAGGGCTTCATGGTCAGTGAGGATGACCAGTTGGTTCGGTAGTCCAGCTAGCATGTGTCGCCACTGAGTGAGGCAGGCGACCACAGCTAGGAGCTCCTTATCATGGATCTCATAGTTCTTCTCGGCAGAAGACATCTTCCTAGAGTAGAAGGCCACTGGATGCCATCGTCCTTCATGCTCCTGCTTGAGCACTCCTGCTATAGCAAAGTCACTTGCATCAGTCTCCAACCTTGTTGGAAGGTGGTAGTCGAAGTGCTGAAGCACTCCTGCTGATGTGAAGGCCTGGATGAGCTTGTGGAAGGCCTGTTGGGTCTCCTCTGGTAGCTCGAACTTCTTGAACCGTTCTATAGGCTTTACCAGTGCTGTCAAGGGCTTGGCTATGCGAGCAAAGTGGGCTATGAACCTTCGATAGAAGTTGGCAAAACCCAGGAACCTCTGGATGTCATGGATTGACTCTGGCATTGGCCACTCCTTGACAGTGCGCACCTTTTCTGGGTCCATCTCTATGCCCGTTGGCTTGATGATGTACCCCAGGAACTCGACTGTCTTGGTGTGGAACTCACACTTCGACAGCTTAGCAAAGAGCCTGTTGCTCCTTAAGCGAGTGAGGACCTCGGTGACATGCTTCACATGTACCTCTTCAGTGTCACTGAAGATCAGGAAGTCATCTAAGTATACCACTACATATACTCCAATGATGTCTCGGAAGATGTCATTGATGAATGACTGGAAGTGAGCCGGAGCATTGGCTAGGCCAAAGGGCATCACTAGGTACTCATAGAGTCCCAACTGAGTGCCAAAAGCTGTCTTCCATTCATCTCCTTTAGCAATCCGGATGAGGTTGTATGCTGCTCTAAGGTCTAGCTTGGTATAGATCCTTGCCTTCCTGAGTAAGAACAGCTGCTCCTCGATGAGGGGCAATGGTGCCCTGTTCTTGACAGTGATCTCGTTGAGACCTCTGTAGTCCACACAGAGTCTGAGACCTCCATCCTTCTTTGGTACGAAGAGCACTGGTGATCGTGCCGGGCTCTTCGATGGTCTTATGAACCCCTTCTCGAGGTTCTCATCCAAGTATCTCCTCAACTTGGACATCTCCTTGGGTCCCTTAAGGTATAGGGGCCCTTGAGGTGGCTTCCCTCCTTCTATCAACTCGAGGTGGAGATCATGCTCGGTATGATGGGGCAGCTTGTCTGCTTCCACCTCATCAAACACATCTCGCAGGTGTTGGTATGGCTTTGGTATGTCTGCAGCCGTCACCACCTTATCTACCTCCACCTCCATCTCGACTCCTTTGTCTGCGCCTGTAGGTACAAAACCAAAGGCCGGAAGTGATGATGGTGGCTCCTCTAACAGCATGAACCCTATGGGTCCATCTTCCAGAGCTGCTCGTAGTATGCGCTCTGCTGAGACAAACTCATTACCATGAAGGGTTGGTCTCCTCATGGTTAGGTCCCCTGTTCTTGCTGCTTCAGGGGGTCTCCTAGGGGGTCGGTCCTGCTCCTGAGTCTTGAACTCCAGCTGGCCCGTATCCCATTGTATGGTGGGTGTCATAGGCCTTAGGAGTATGAGGTGTCGGAGGGGGGACGAGTGAGCAGAAGAAGGAGGAGAGAACAGGAGGAGGAGTAAAGGAGGAGAGAGCAGGAGGAGGAGTAAAGGAGGAGAGAGCAGGAGGAGGAGTAGGAGGAGAGGAGCTAGTATGAACCAGACACAGAAGCATGACTAGCCTCAACGGAGCTCGGCTCTTAAGAGGGGGGTAGTGTCATAGGCCTTAGGACACGGACACGGGCATGGAGGTTCATAGAAGGGGAGCATAGAGTACCAAGGCTCGGGTCATAAAGGAAGACCACCATAGCAGGCCTAAGGATGGTTGGGCAAGAGGCCGGAGGCCTAGCTGGAGAGTAGTAGCAGGAGTAGTGGGAGAGCAACTTGACCGGCCTGTATGCAAGGAGGTCCAAGCACGTCATGGAGGACCGGCCTGTATGCAAGGAGGTCCAAGCACGTCATGAAGGACCGGCCTGTATGCAAGGAGGTCCAAGCACGTCATGAAGGAGGAGGAGCAGTGTCGAAGGAGTCGACACAGCTCAAGAGGCACAGGGGTGCCAAGCAGGAGAGGCCCCTGAGCAGTACTCGATGAAGAAGGCACTCTCTGGAGAGAGAGCAGGAGCAGCATCGCTGGCGATACTGTGAAGAGGTATATAACCATGCTTTCTCATCATCATAGGTCGAGTGGATCCCCATCCACTCTACTCACCATATAACTAGTCAATACTTAGAACACAAGTACTCATTAGTTAACAGTCAGCATAGCAGCAATCCATCAAGATTGCTCCTCATCGTAGTGCGTGTGTTGTATCACCACTACCTGACAATCCGTAGGCGCCCATAGCAGGTAGCGGTCCGGATATAGATAGAACCGAAGGCAGTAGTCCACTGCGGTCCGGGGATCACTCAGCATTAGTCAGCACACTGGACACTCGTGTTGACGCGACCAACCTCACCACCAACCTCATCGACATTCACCAACAACCTCATCATCATCAACACTCACACCAGACCTTGGTGTCATCATAACATCGATATCGATCGTGCCGAGCTACCCCTGAACGGAGTGTCCACAGAGGTCAGCCGAAACCTACGATAGTATATACCACGAACGCCACCCGCTGTCACTGCACAACTTGATAGTCACCGATACCGGGACAATAGCTGTCGCACAGTTTGATAGTCACCGAGTATCCAGACAGACTGATCTGGGTTTCAGGCGCAAGACCCCTGACAGTGGGTTTGAGCCTCCGTAGCTCAGTGAACCCCAGGATGAGGTCATAGTCTGCAGTGTCGGCCACTGAAGCTTCGACCACACCCAGATTGTGTGTACCAATAGATACCTGCATGCTCGCAGAACTATTGATGGAGAGTTGGTGCCCGGTGACACCATGGATCGATCTTGTTTTTATGGGTTTTGTGGGTATTTGGTACTTACTAATGAAAGAATCTGAGACTATGGACAAACCAGCACCGGTATCAGCTAGTATCCGAGCAGGATGGTCTTGAACCATTCCAGAAAGCTCCAGTACTGCTTTGCCTCCACTGGTAGAGAAACATACTTGACAATCTTGATATATACAGAGTGATGGCGAGGAGGTTTGTAGAGCAATGCATGCCATCAGTGCATCACCCCACTGACGTTTCCCTCGTCGTCATCATCATCGTGCTCCTCCTCGTGATCGAGGTCCATGGGTTGCTGGTATGAGCTGAGGTCCATGGCCTCGGGGTCACCCGTCTCGGTGCTGCCTGTGGGGCCATCTCCTGAGTCGGTGGCCTCCTCGAAGGGGTCTGCTGTGGTGACCATAACCTTTGGTCCCATGGGTCGAGAGCTAAGAGGGTTTACCCTCCTGCTGGGGCAGTCTCTGGCCCAATGGCCGATACCTTTGCATACATGACAGGTGTTGATACCTGATGGAGCAGGGCTTCCTTGCTTCGAGGGTTGGGTGGGATGATGAGGAAGGGGTCGGTTTAGGTTTTGTATAGTTGCTTGTGTAGTTGCTTGTGATGGTGATCGAGCTGGATAAGGTTGAGTGGGTTGTCTGATGGGGATCGAACTTTGATTTGGCCGAGACCCAGTTCTTAGTGGAGGTGACGTGGCATTTGGTAGTGAGTGTCTAGCCGAGGACTGCTGTAGTAGCATCCTCTGTCGATCGATCTCCTCGACCTCTCGATACCACTCCCATCTCTTCCCAGGTGGATTCCTCTCGAACTTCTCCTGTATGCTGCGAGTGAGACTTCCTCTGAAGAGATCAATCACTAGCTCGTTGTCATCTAGGTTGACCTGTCCCTCCAAATCTCTGAACCGCTCTACATGACGTGTGGCGGCACCAGGAGCATCACTTGTGAGTCTGAGAGCCAACAGCTTGTTGTATGCCTCCATCCTAGCATTGCGTGGGTTGAACTGCTCTGACAGTCGCTCTGTGAAGTAGTGCCAATCATTGAACAACCTTCCTTCTCTAGCTCTATCAATACGGAGCTTGGAGGTCCACCACTCTCTTGCTGTCCCTTCCAGTTGAGCACCCATGTGATTGATCATCCTAGACTGCTCATACACCTGGTTGAACTTAAACCATGCTTCGGCTTCTAGAATGAAGATCTCCATGTCTCGGGGATTGAACTTTGGAAAGGGGGTGGCAATGGGCTTTGACCGGTTAAGCTCTGCCATGATGCTGGTATCCTCCTCGTGGTCCAGGGGGTAAGGATCCGTCCTAGTCCTGCTGTAGGGGTCCAGCTTAGTCTTGACATATCTTGGCCCCGTAGGTGAAGCATACTTCTCGTAGTTGATGTCCTCCTGCTCATCCAGGTTGAATGAGACTGATCGTCTTGGTCGTGGAGCTGGAGTAGGAGTATGTGGGTCTCCTATCATAGACTCATCTCCTCCTCCTGCTTGGTCTTCTGAGTGAGAGAGGTCCATTGTCTCCTCCCTGCTCAGTTGAGCTCGTTGTAATCGTTCCTCTCGATGACCCTGTCTGGTAAGCTCTAGCTGTGCTTCCAATAGAGTGAGTAGTCTATCGAGCTTATTGTTGAGGTCTGGGTCCGTCATGGTGATCATGAGGAGCTGCTTGAACGATCCACTCTAATGTCAGGGGTCTCGCGCCTGAAACCCAGGTCGGTCCGTCGAGATACTCGGTGACTATCAAACTGTGCGACAGCTATTGTCTCGAGATACTCGGTGACTATCAAGTTGTGCAGTGACAGCAGGTGGCGTTTGTTGTATATACTATCGTAGGTTTCGGCTGACCTCTGTGGACACTCCGTTCAGGGGTAGCTCGGCACGATCGATATCAATGTTATGATGACACCAAGGTCTGGTGTGAGTGTTGATGATGATGAGGTTGATGGTGTTGGTGATGGGATTGGTGATGTCGATGATAATGAGGTTGATGGTGTTGGTGATAAGGTTGGTGGCGTCAACACGAGTGTCCAGTGTGTTGACTTGATGCTTGAAGTGATCCCCGGACCGCAGTGGACTACTGCCTTCGGTTCTATCTATATCCGGACCGCTAACCTGCTATGGGCGCCTTCGGACGTCAGGTAGTGGTGATACAACACACACACTACGATGAGGAGCAACCTTGATAGATTGCTGCTATGCTGACTGAAACTAATGTATACTTATGCTGAAGTGATAACTAGTTATGGTGAGTAGAGTGGATGGGGATCCACTCGACCTATGATGATGAGAAAGCATGGTTATATACCTCTTCACAGCATCGCCAGCGATGCTGCTCCTGCTCTCTCTCTCCAGAGAGTACTTTCTTCATCGAGTACTGCTCAGGGGCCTCTCCTGCTTGGCACCCCTGTGCCTCTTGTCGACACTGCTCCTCCTCCTCATGACCTGTGACAGTTCCTTTGGCTCTTGTCTCTCGAGCCCCTGAGTGGTACCCATCTGCATGCTCCTTGAGCTTGGTCCTCTTCGTGGCTGTGCCTGCTCCTTGAGCTTGGTCCTCCTCGCATGTGAGTCCATAGGAGTCCATGGTCTCCATGGAGACTGCACTACGACCATGCTCTCTACTGGTGTCGACTAGGTCTTCGATACCTGTGCTCCTTCCATATGAACCCATGACCCTCCTGCTTCTTGAGCATCCAGGCCCATGACAGAGACTACCGAAGAAGTTCTGGCCATACGCGATCAGGGCTGCAGCGTTCAAAATAAACCTCACTCCGAGCGTTGATAATGAATTCCCTTACCAAGCGATGTTTGGCAAGTCGCCGGAACGAGCTTTAAAGCTCCTACGAGTGTTTGGTTGTCTGGCATGGGTAAACATACCCAAAGTTAAACGGGACAACAAGAAACTGGACCAGCGAGCCGTCGCATCCATTTTCTTAGGGTACAGTCTAGAGAGGAAGGGCTGGCTTTTCTACAGCCCGGACTACAATCCGAACATCTTCTGGAGCAATTCAGCAAAATTCATGGAATCAAAGTGCTGGTCAGACAGAACAGAGTGGCGACCGGTTGATACAAAGGCACCCCCAATGACGATGACAGAAGAAAATCTCGAAGATCTAGGATATAACAAAGAAAATATATTCGACGAAACAGATGAAGAGCCACTACGAGAATACATGGATATGGAGTCAGACTCGGAAGAAAGATTACGCGAAGGAATAGCAGAGGTGATGGAACAAGGACCAATCGCCGAAACTCAAATTGACAGCGAATTCTATGGACTCGTAGCGACGCAACCGGAACGGAGAAAGAACCTGGACCCAACCATACATGAAGCAATGAATGGAGAGGACAGAAAGCACTGGGAGGAGGCCATGCGAAAGGAGCTGGATGGATTAGAGGCGATGGGCACATGGGAGATAGTCGACCTTCCAAAGGGTGCAAACACCGTCGACACACGTTGGGTACTCAAGATCAAAACCGATGCAAACCTCGTGCCAACAAAGTTCAAAGCCCGGCTCGTGGCACGAGGTTTCACTCAACGCGAGGGCATCGACTATACAGAGGTCTTCGCACCAGTAGCACCTATCCAATCCATTCGAGGGGTGATCGCGGTCGCAGCAGTACAAGATTGGGAAATGGATTCTATTGACGTAAAGCAAGCGTACCTGAACTCCACTATACACCATGATGTATACCTCAAGCCCCCAGTAGGAATTGAAATACCACCCGGAAAAGTGTTGAAGGTAGTGAAAGGACTGTACGGTTTGAAACAGTCGGGCCGAGAATGGAACATCGAGTTAGACTCACACCTCCGGACGATCGGATTTCATTGCATGCAGAGCGCTCCATGCCTATACTCAAGAGGGACAGGCGACAAGATCACGATCATCACAGCATACGTGGACGACATGCTGATAACATCACCCAGTCGTGAGGAAGTAGACCGCGCAAAGCGGGAGATCATGGACAAATGGGAGACGCAAGACAATGGAAGGATCAAAGAATTTCTGGGTATCAAGATTATACGTGATAGAAGACGGAGGAGGATATCCCTGAGTCTAACGGCATACATCAAGGAAATGGTGAACAAATGGTTAGGAGGAGCAAACGAGAAATTCTGGATACCCATGCTGAGTGTAGCGAACACCGCCGGAGGCGAGCGATGTGAACCTAAGCGAGCAAAGAGGTATCAAGAATTGGTCGGCCAACTATTATGGGTCTCCAACACAGCCCGACCAGATATTGCCTTTGCCGTCGGCGTATTGGCGCGATATATGTCGATCCCGATCGACAGTGCATGGAAGGCAGCTGTCCACGTGGTAAAGTACCTGAACCAAACGAACGAATATCAGTTGCACCTAGGAGGAGAGACAAACGAGCACTCGGGTACACCGGTAACGACGTATACCGACGCAAACTGGGCATCCGACCCCACAAATGGACGAAGAAGTACCTCGGGGTCGATAACATATGTGTATGGATGTCCGGTGAGTTGGAAATCACACGTTCAGAAGTGTGTGGCACTGTCGGCAGTCGAAGCAGAGTTTGTCGCCGCTTCCGAAGCGGTACGAGAAACCTTATTCTTCTCATATTTGCTCCGGGATTTGGAGGTCACGGGCGTTCGGCCCGTACTATACACAGACAGCCAGGGGTGCATACAGGTGAGTAAAGACCCAGCCAAACATTGGAAGTTAAAGCACATCGACACACGGTATCATTTCGTACGCGATCACGTACAAGAGGGCGATGTGGAGATCAAATATGTCGGAACGGCAAACAACGTTGCAGATGTCTTGACAAAACCCTTACAGGGCCTTAACACCTCACGATTGGCTAGGATGATAGGACTGGAGATCCCGCCGAAGGGGGGAGTTGAAGATGCGTCGGCATCTCAAGCAAGGTGCACGTGTTACGGCCGAGACATCGAGATACGGGAGGCTCACATAAGTGAGGAGCACAATGAGGTACGCAATTGTTGTCATGGTGACAGCACAGTGGCACCCGGTATCATAGCAACACAGGGGTACAAATGAAGGAACACACCCTGCCTCGGATGGGATCAGAGCAGTGAATGGAGTATATATATGTGTTTGTCATTTAGTCTCACACTATGAAAACTAAGCATTACATAGAACATACGGCTGTGGCAAAGGGAGTCTGATCGTGACCCCGATAACGCCGTATATTAATTGTTATCTTCAATTCATTTCCTCTTTCGGAAGTCGGGTTCAAGAAGCCTAGCTCGTTCAAGCATTCCCAGCTATGGCCATTTACCACCCTTGATCTTGCTTTGCGACTCCACAAACAGCATTCATCTCAGCATATCCTTGGCTCCATCGCCCTAAACGCACTCATATCCGGGGATACAGGCTGCTACCCAGCTGCAAGCATAAATGCTGCCATTCCTACAGCCTACTCGTCATCACTGCAGCGCAATTCGACAGCTACAAGTTTTGAACGACCTTTCTCCACCAACTTCTTTCGACTCAGCGCGGGCAACCTCGCCCCCTTATGGCTAGCCCCGCCAGCATGGCGATAGAAGCATCTGCAAAGCGTCAGCGTACCAATGGCGCATCCATCAAGTCGCCGAGCAAGACTCTCCCTACTCCACTCTCTACGGAGCAGTTGCATACCTTGCGTCATGCTCAGTACCTCGACAATGGAGTCAGCGCATTGGAGCAGCTCGAGAACTTAAGAGCCGGTGCAGCTGATCTTGGTCAAATCGCCTGGTCGCTTCAGAACATAGTTGCAACCGCCTCCAACATTCAAGCGGCTGCATCCACATCAGCACGCGGCCATGTGATCGTTCAATATCCTATCGCCTCATCATCAAAGAGCTCACTTCCTCCCAGCTACCTCTACCCAGATCAAGCCAGCTTCTCGACAAGTTCGTCTGCAGGTCCATCTCAATCTCGTCTGGTCGCCCCCGCTAGCTATGACGATCCCAAACACATCTCCTTCAGTCCTTGCGGGTACTACCTTTGTGCCTACTTTCCCCTACCAGGCCGCTCAGGACTATCAAAAGCGGTCGCGACCTCGGCATCACCAGGCCCGTTACCCATTCCACCATCAGATCGCCTTGCCGTGGCTGGTCCGCTTCCATCAACTGCGAACGCTCCTCTGCTCAACCAGCTCAGTATCACAACACAACTGACGGACACGTCATTGTCGATACCGCAGGCCCCTTCTGCCTCAGCAGCATCAAATTCACCAAGTGATCCACCAACTTCCAAAGTGTGCATCTGGTCCCGAGCTGAGACGGGTGCGCTAAATGACTGGAAGCTGGTCCAAGTCACCCCAGTCAAGTCCTCTTCCAGCGCAGGAAAGTCTGCTGCATCTAACAAGCCAGACAACGTGCTCAAGATCAATGATAAAGGGCAACAGATTGCAAGAGACGGCAGCCGTTCGTCGCCATCCGATGATGATTCTTCGAAGCAAGCTGTCCTACTAGGCGGTATCAAGAAGGCTGTCTGGCTGAATCGCCCTCGTCGTCGAGTTGTGCTTGGATCTTCAGCTTCCTCATCCAATCATTACGGCTCAAACCCGTTCAGTCGGCTAGCTGCCCGTGGACCCAGCTTTCTCTCCGCCAGCGCATCTTCAGGGGAGGATGCTGGTCCCGACCCGGATGTCGCACTTGCCGTCTTCGGTCATCATGGTCAAGTCACTTTGCTTTCTTCTCGCAGGTCAGACAGAGAAGCGATGAGGCTCAACCTCGGCTCAATGCAAGACGCAAGCTCCTCATCAACTTCCGAGTACGGCTTCTTCACCAGCATCCTTCAATCCTCACTTTATACGCCACGTTTACAACCCTCGCCAATCACGCTCGACTCTGCTCCCAGTCTTGGAGAACGCCAGCCCGGTCAAGACGCGGCCTACAGCTCTCCGTTCTCAACAAGCAAAGGCGACAATCACGACCAAGATGCACGTTTGACCCATCTCGCCGTTGGCATGCCTGCCAACGACTCGGTCCTGATCGTCGCATCAAAGCGATCTTCCACCGCCTCGTCGCTCATAGACCTCACTGAGGTCACTGTCGACTTGCAAGGAGAAGCAATTACGATGATCACTCGGCCTCTGCAACCTGCATCCCTGTCTTCAGCTAGCTTCGGCAGCTCAAGCGATGCACAACAGGACGGCACTGCCAGTCCAGAGAACGACGCTGCGCCCGTGGATCTTGACGGAATCTCTATCCTCACATGGGCAGAGGTAGAGGGTCATTCTGTCAACGGGACTGATCAGACTACGGGATCATCTGGGTTGAGGTTGATCGCTGTTTCCTCGCATCTCGAAGCACACGCCGCTAGCGCGTCAGACTCGGCACATGAAGACAATCTACAGTCAAACATGCGCAGCAATATTGCAGCTTGGGACCTTGACAAAGCGGAGAACGAGCTGAGCGACGCATTCGCTTCCCTTGAATGCAGAAAGACGGGGCAGGCTCCAAAATGGCTCGATTGGCAGCTGCGATTTGCTCAATCCAAGACGTTACCAGATAGACTCGTCACCTCGCTCGTTGCAGACGCGTATGGTCTAGCTGCTGCTGATCTAGCGATTCTCACAGCTCTCAGTCCAGCTCCTGGCAAGCAGAGGCTTCTTTCAGAGCATCTTGCTTACTTTGACCTCAGTAAGCTGGATCTGGTGGAAAGCGCCTCTGCGGCGATGCCAGCTCGCGCAATGTCACGGTCCTCAAGCCCCGTCGTCTCGAGCAACGGCGCTCTTATCGCGACTCTTTCCAATGTCCACCATGGAGCATCGTCGAGAGGTGTCATTATGTGGAAGCTGCCCACGACAGGCGTGACGGACGATGCTCGTAAACTGATGTCTGAGCTGCTCGCCTTGTCATGTTTGCGCAAGTCGGATGCTAGCGACATCAGCCGTGCTTTCGCTTCGTCTGCAATCGACGACAATGTTGGTAAGCTTCTTGTCGAGGTTGGCGACCTACTCAAGATCACCGACTCCAAAAGACAAGATGTGCTCGTCAAGATCGAGGGTGCAACACAGAAGGGACCTAGCCACGATACCAACAGCATCCCTTTCCATCATGCGCTTCGCTTGCTCAAGATCCGTATGGCCATGGGATCGGCGATGGCTAATGCCAAGTCGAGTGTGCGTCTGGAGCGACTCATCCTTGAGTTGGCTCTCTGCTATCAGGTCTTGCGTTTAGCTCGGACCATGACAGAGGTGACGCTGACACCGCCGCCACCGCCAGCAGAGAACAAGAAGAAGTCAAGCGCGGCTGCAAAAGCTGCTGCTGCCAGTACTACCAATGCCAGCGAAACGCGCGTTCGGGTGTACTACCGCCTCGAAAGCGTATGGCCACTTCTTGCTCAGCTACAGTGGTTCCTCACGCTGCTTGATGGAGTCAGTAAGCTTGCCCTGGCTACCTCAATGGTCACAGACGCATCAAAAGCAGACTCCAACAGTGCAACAAAAAAGAGTTCTCCCGAACAAGACTTCCTCCGAATGCTCAACAAGCCCACACCCCGTCGACTTGTACTCCAAATCGCCGCCCATTTCTGCGACTTTGTAGAATGGATCAACAGCACCACCAAAAAGGAGAATCTTCCACCAGCAACAGGTACAACCGCAGGCGATGAAGCGATGGCATTCTTCTCCTCGACCAACTCCGCTGATGCCGGTGGAGATGGAAGGGTGCTAGCAGTCAGTGAGCAGATGTCGCTTGCGAGAGATGCGTTGAGGCTGGTTGCAGGCGATGCGAGTATCGATTTGGCTGACTTTGCGCAGTTGTTGGCAAAGATCGAGGCGGAGTCGAGTAGTGCCAGTGGGGTTCGTGAAGCTGATCGTTTTTGGTGGGCTACACTTAGTGGGAAAGCAGATGTGGGTGGGGCAGAGGTGAATGGGAACCTGAAAGCGGAGGGAGAAGAGTTAGGAGGGATGGAGGGCAAGTTGTTGAGTTTGATTGTTGATCCGGAATCGGGAGCTTTGGTGGACGTGTTGACGCTGTTCGTTTCGCCTGCAGATATTTCGGATGAGCGGAATGTGCTGTATGAGAAGAGCACTGAGGATACAGAAGCAGCAGATGAAGACGTCTCATCGTTAATGAAAGCTCTCTCGGCAATGTCAGCGAAGCGTAGCGGCGACGAAACAAGGCGAGATATTGTTCGCAAAGTCTCTCTCCGCAATGCTGTTACTCAATCGGTCATTGTCAACGACGCTGCGACACTCCTCGGCACGCACTCTACAACCCCGATCCCCTCTGCTCAGCGTCTTCAACCGCCATTTCAACCCAACTCCACTGGCACTGCTGGTACGGATGCTACCAACCCCAGCACAGGCGAAGCGAACGATACGATGGTCAAACTCTCACTTATGCGAGCAAAGCGTTGTGTACGATGCTATGCTCTATCCCAAGATCCTGTTTTGGTAACATACTCTCTCTCCCCTCCGACAGCAGTACCTGGAGCACCTGGAGGAGGTATGATGGTAGACCCGAACTTGCCACCACAAGTACAGATGCAGATGCAGGTTCAAATGCAAATGCAAGTGATGCAACAAGACGGACTCCCTTTCATGCCGGTACAGATGATTCAACCACAGCCGAAGTTGGTTGCGATCGAAGTCTTGGCTCCTACCCAAGGTACAGGTGGTGCATTTAGATTCAATTGTCTTTGCGGTGGAGGTTGGTGGGTGCTCTAAAACTACCTCCCCTTCATAGGTTGTATGACGTAGAGTAATATAATACATTCTCCCCCTAAAAAGGTAGTGCACCACTAGGATGACTTGGATCAAAACCCCCCAAAGCTGTGTGGCCCAAAGCTGGGTGGGAAGCTTTCTTTCTTCTTCCCATTAATGTATTCCAACCTAGGACAACTTTCGATAAAGTCCCAGAAGCTGGGTGCGGTGTTCTGTTGTGGCATCGGATCAACCTCCAGCCACATTAAATGCGGAAGACGGGAGGTGAGGGTGGACCAAAGGGAGTTGTAGTTGGAGAATGCGCCGGAGATGTCGAATATTAATCGGAGGTGGGTGAGGGTAGAGGAGAGGGAGAGGATGGTGGATGGGAGTGGGGGTTCGGGGGTTATGGGGTAGATATCGAGGCAGGTTAGGGAGTTGAAAGAGGAGGTGAGGAGGAGGCGCAATTGGTGGAAGAGCGAGGTTTTCGAGGTGGAGAGCGAGAGGTGTTTGAGTCGAGCTCTGTTTGATGGTGCTGGTGAGGAAGGGGATGAAGGATGGGTGGAGGAGGGGGATGGTAGGTCGAGGTAGAGATGTTGAGCTTGCCTGCGTGGTGGGATTGAGGACGATCGTTGGAGTTCTTGCAACGGACTTTCCTGTCGTCCTCTTTGTTCTTCGTATCCCTCCGGTATTTCTCTCACCTCCCCCACCCCCTCTCCTATCTCTGCAGTAGCAAGGCTCTGTGCCTGAAACAAGGCAACAACCCCAGCCGGCAGCAGTGTACTCTCATAACCCGTAAACCTCAAAGTCTCCAGCCTCTTCAACCCAGCCATACCCTTATGTCCCTGATGAAACAATCTCCCATCCACCTCCAATCCCCTAAGCGAGGGCCCTAGCAAAAGCCATACCGCAGGGTTTGGCGGCGCTTCAGCTGACCAATACAAATGTTCAACTTGTTCAGGCATTGATCGCAGCAATGTGAGGAGATAGGTTTGATCGAAATCGAGGTATTTATCCGGAATCGACACTGCGATACTGCGGATGTGCGGTAAGGGATGGCGTAGCCCGAACTCAACAGGGCTCTGACTCTGGGGAGGAGAGGCGCGGGAGAAAGAGCGTCGAGTGGAGGAAAGAGAAAGGCAATCGTAGTTCTTCAGCAGCGTCGCGAGGCGGGGGAGATGCTGTGGTGTACGAATGACAATAGTGTGCCATACCAGGGGTGTTAGGATGTTGCGGAATGTGCGAGATGCAGATGCGAGGGAGAGAAGAGGAGTTATGCTTGAACCGGCGGGGAGGAGGGCGGTGTATGGTGGAGAGCAGTGTTTGCAGGGAAAGGTTTGGGAGGTGGGTAAGGCGGGGAGAAGGAATGTTGCGATATGGAAGAGTATTTCTGCTGGTAGGCTTGGTATCGTTGATCCTCTTTCTATAGCAGTAGTTGCTGATGAGACACCCTGCTGATTTGGGTCTTGAGAAGCAAAGCTGTGCGGTCCGTTTGAATCGTTGAACTTGTGAGCTTCCAGTGGGCGACCGTTCGTCTGGGTTGTTTCGAGGGACTGCTTCATCGAGCCTTTCAGGTCTGGCATGCTATTTGCCGTTGGAGCCTTTCGAGGTGATGGCAGAATGCTGAGCGAGTCCATGAATCGGACCGCATCAGCGATGGTTGGCTGTGCTGATGGACTCGTCATTGCGTCCGAAAGCTAGCTTAGGCCGTTACATTGTGGTTTCAATGCTCGAACGATGCGACAAAAACGTACGGAGCTATGATTCGCAGCGATGCTGAAGCTCTCTGATAGGGAACGGAGGACGTTGTGGTCGATGCGATAGAGCTCATGTCAAACGTCGAGTGAAGAAAACGCCGTTCATCAACCGAATTGAAAGCCGAAGTCTCGGTTTGTTAGATCGCGTCAACCTTGCCCATTCGGGTTTCCAAAAATGAGCTTCTAGGATCGTTTCGGTTTTGACGGCGGTCGAACAACGCCGTCTCGCTTCTTGCTTCTTGTCGATCCAATCCGATCCAGTTCCTTCGTATCTATGCATTCCAGAAAATCTTCCGACCGAACCTATCCCCCATGTGGGCCTCTCGCCAAAATTTTATACCCTTCTCATTGTTGCTTGTGTCTTTCCGATTCCGTCCGCCCCTTATCGGTGTCAGAAAGCTCGGTTGTGACGGACTAGCCTGTGCATTCCACCGGTCAATCTTGGTCGCATTCGGCTGTCGAAGGTTTTTTCTCCGAATCAAAAACCCTGGCTGACCCTTTCCGACAGTGCGAGGTGTCGGATATGACGGTCCCTCTTTCTTCTTCCTTCGTCGTTCATCGGCGGTAGCAGCATAATGTATGACATTGCTTGGATGTGTAGGGACCAGCTTTTCAGGTGTGACCGAAACACGCCCTGGTGTCCAGCTGTTCTTCGCGCGCTTGATATGTCGATGGTGTCCGGTCCTAAGTTACTTGCGCTCCATTGTATCTACTCCTTTGCTACCTCTTCCTACCCTTGTCATCAGACGTTAGTATACTCGCCCCTCTCAGCACTGCTCCTTGACGAAAGCAGCTACCTCTCTTCACCATACCTAAGGGTCATTGACACGCTTGCACTGCTAACATGGAGCCAACACGCTCATCAGTCGATAAGGCCTGCTCATCATGCTCCACAACAACGACACCTTCACCTTTGCACTCTAGCTTCTCATCAGCAGATGCAACAGCGGTCAACACAGCAGCTCCTACCCGACGAAACAGTCTCTCACTTAACACTGTCCTCTCCTCCCCCGGCACTTCTACACCATCAACGAAGCACACCGACTCCAAATCTAGCAAAGCTACACACGGAGGTGTCTCACCAAAATGCCTCGCTCAGCGACTTCTCCAACAACAACGCCCCCAGACGACCACCAAACTTGATCACAGCGACATCGAAACAAGCCCAAACACACTCGTCGTCAACACGCCCCGTACATCATTCGACAAGCTCGACCGACCCAAATTTCCCGAAGAGAAATCCCCCTCGCATAGCTCCCATGCTAACGTCGACATCGAAAAAGCCACCCCACTACCCACGAAACCAACCGATGTAGGCCCTGCACCCGACGGCGGACTTCAAGCATGGCTCGTTGTCGCTGGAACCTTCATCCTGATCATGACCAACTTCGGCCTCCTTACATCCTACGGCGTCTTCCAGACCTTCTATCTCTCCCATCAGCTCATCCACACTCCTTCATCGACGGTTAGCTGGATTGGAAGTCTGCAAACATTTATGATCCTCGGCGGATCATTTGTGTTTGGTAAGATTTCGGACGATTATGGCAGTCGATGGGTTCTCATCTGTGGAAGTATCATTACTTTTGTTTCAATGTTGGGAGTTGCGTTCTGCGAGACGTTGATTCAGTTGATTTTGGTGCAGGGTGTAGCGTTTGGATTGGGAGGGAGTATGTTGTTCTTGCCAGGGTGTGCATTGGTGAATCAGTACTTTGATAAGAAAAAGGGAACTGCGATGTCGGTTATCATTGGAGCGGCGAGTTTTGGTGGGGTTGTCTGGCCACTTATTCTTCAAGCGCTGTTCGATCATCCTGGGATTGGATTTGGATGGGGAGTAAGGATCGCTGCGCTGCTACTGGCAATTTTGTTAACGATCAGCAATGTCCTCATGAAACCTCGTTTGGCACCAACCCCAAAGGCACAACGCCAAAATTGGTCTCAAGTCTGGACTCTGCTCACGGAAGACTCTCAAACATATACACTCTTCGTCATCGGTACAGCCATTCTATTCATCAACTTCTTCGTCCCCTTCTTCACCATCGCTTCTTACGCCAAGAAAGTCAACTTCTCTCCTTCGATGGCTACACATATGGTTGCGATCATGAACGCTGCCTCGATGTTCGGTCGACTCGCTTCCGGTCCCCTCGCCGATCGGTATGGTCGATTCAACGTCCTCACACTCTTCGGATTCGCTTCCTTCCTATCCTTGATCCTATTCTGGCCAATCCCCGGACTCACGCTTACAAAAGCAGGAGTAATAACCCTCTCAATAACGTACGGTGTGGCATCAGGAGGAAGCATCGCAACGGTAGCTTCGTGCGTGGCACAAATCTCGAAGAAGAACGCAGGAGCAAAGCTCGGATTGATGTGGACTTTGGCTGCTCCAGGAACACTTGTCGGGCCAGTAATTTCGACAGCTCTGGTGAGTAAGATGGACGGACGGTATACAGCGCTTGCGGTTTGGGCAGCGGGGACGACGTTGGTTGGGTCGACAATCATCGCTTGGGTGCGATTCGGACTTTCGAAGGGGAAATGGATTGCTAAGGTCTAAGACCATTTCCCCCTCTCTTCACACCTTTGCATCATCATCATCATCATCATCATTCTTGTATAACACACACATTTGTACACTATATACCATTCGCATTGCAACATTTCTACCCATCCCTCTATGACACTACTTGCTATTTCCTGCGCCCAAAAAATCCAACATATGCTGCGCAGTAGCCTCCGGATGAGTCAACACAATATGATGTCCACTTTCCGGGATCACCGCCAAATCAATCTGTCCAAAGTACTTAGCAGTACTTATCGGGACCACATTATCCTTACCACCCCAAATCACACGCAATTTTGACCCGAAATCCCTCGCAACAGCCCGATGAACTTCATGACTGTTGAAGATCGGTCCGTCTTGCAAGCTCGATGTAAAGCTGAATTTATATCCTGGATGATACTCTGCTTGCCACCAAGCTAGAGACCCTTTGGGTGGGGTGGGGAGGAGGGGGACGAAGCGGAGAAGACGACGAAGGATGAAGTTGGGAAGTAAGTGAGATCGAATCAATTTGACTGCTGGACGGAGGTCTGCGTTGGGTGTGCCACCAGCGGGACAGAGGAGGATGAGTCGGTCTACTCGGCGAGGGTAGTAGTGAGCAAAGTGGGAAGCGATGGGACCACCGAACGACAAGCCGCAGAGATCGAACTTGTCCCAGTGTGGGAGATGTGCGAGAAGAAGGGTGATCTGGGAGACGAAGAGTGCAGTATCGTGTGTTACTTGTGGGGAATCAGAGTATCCTCTGCCGAAGAGGTCGAAGCAGAGGATACGATAGCCTGCCTTAATGAGGTAAGGTGCGATGAGGCTCCATGCGGGGGATGGGGTAGAGATGCCGTGTACGAAGAGAAGCTTCTTGCCGTCTTCGGGGCCGAACTCGTAGTAGCGGATGGTACCGTAGGGTGTGTTGAGGTCAGAGCCGTTTGGGAAGATATCGGCTGGGTATGGTTGGTCATGGACCTTGGCGGGTGCTTTGAGAATTTTGGGATAGTTGGATCGTAGACGAGCGTTGGAGATGAGGTACAGGAGGGAGGCGGTTCCGGCTGCAGCGGCGAGAGCTACTCTGCCGTCTTGCAGTCGGTTCGTGTACGATGAGAGGAATGACATAGCGCAGAGATGCTCGTGGAGGAAGAGGATGGTTGAGGTGGTGATGTCGATGCTTGCCAAGAAGATCTTCTTGAGTTGAAGAAAGGGTCCAACTTGGAAAGCGGGGAAACTTGGCTGAACTCCGCATGGTGCGGGCAAAGTTGTCGAGCTCTAACACAACGTGGATTTCAGAGGACCGTGCACGTCCCAAAAGCAACACCAAAGGAAGAGGAGAAAAGTGACACTTTTTGCTCAGCTCACTCTTTGGCCTTCACTAGCCACTATCATACGCCCATCACTGCAGCCTCGACTACACGGGATAGGCAGACGAAGCAAGATGGCGACCACTACGCCCTTGTCGCTGCCATTCGTTCTTCGTCAGAATGAACAAGCATCATCGTCCCAATCACATCGCAGGCGCTTCAAACCGGATCGTCCCAACTATCGAGCACTCTTGAACACGCATCATTCAGCTTCTGTTGCCACCGCTTCGTCCTCTCGACTTGCCAATGCCTCCAAGCTGACTTCAGTGCGAATCGATACCGACCAGCTCGAGGCGGATCTGCAGGAATGGGGTCTTCCCTCAACCGCCGCTTCGACCTCTTCATCCTCTTTAGCTGCCCCTCGATTAACACACCCAACTTCCGCCATCTCGTGGGACGAGAACTCTGTGCAATCCACCTGCTCCTACCTCCGAAGCTCTAGCGCTATCCTCTCAGCCAAGCCTGCATCTCTGGACCAATGGGATCCTTCGATCTCATTTGCACCCTTCGCTTCCAGCGGCCTTGAGCCAGTCGAGCTCAGTACGGAGCAGGACTCAGTACAGCAGCCTTTCAAGTACGATCCTGGTCTGGGACGTGTCATTGCTATCGGCAGAGAAGATGGCACGATCTCCATCTATCGAGCGTATGGCCGTATCGAAGACTATGAAGCTCTACCAACTACAGAACAACAGAAGGACGAAGCCGAGGATTCGCTTCCAGCGTCGGCGTCCGCCTCAGCCAACCTTTCGCATGCCAGCGTCTCGGCTTCTCGTCGCTTCTCAGCCGTCTCGAATCCATCACGCCTTCGTAGTCCAGAAATCGAGACCCCTTCGATTCGATTCCCCTCCTCGACAATATCTTCGTCGGGGCGGGAACCAAGCCCGCTTCTATCAAACTTCTCACACGTCTCACACGTCGACAGGTCGCCAATCACAGCACGCTCGACCATCTCAGCAGCATCTGTGAGCTCCACTGTAGCAGCCAATGTTCAGCTCGAAGAAGGATTACCAACAGGCTCTCTTCAGTCCAATGTCACAGCGACGGGGCACACTGCCGGCAGAGTCTACACGGAGCAGGCCGAGAATCGTTTGGAGCAGCAAATAGCAGCTGCAGAGCGTAATGACCATCAGCATGGCGTGGTTGGCGGTGTCATTGAACGTCTCGGCTTCTCTTTTCATTCTCATTCTCCACCCCCGCATCAATATCCTTCCGCGACGCATCAGCTTTCTCGCCAGTCGTATCATCGCACTCGTTCGAGCGAGTCACGCCGTCCATCTGCCACATCTCCACATGCGCCCTCTCCGACTGAAGTCGGTCCAAAGTCTCCTACCCGATCGAGAGGGCATTCGAACCCCACGACAACGCCTGTGGAGAACTTGCTCAAACCTCCAGCTTCCGATTCTTGGCTCCACGATCCTACCAGAGGCAGCTTCAGTCAAGTCATGACGCTGTTCACGCGCGACAGATCTCCGGTCGTCGCACTTAGACTGGTCCCTTTGCCCTCAGCAGGCGATGACAGTCAAGACTCTCACGCAACACCCACAGCGATGCAGCTCACAACAGACAAGGCTGCTCTCCTGGTGGTCCAGGAAGCCGGCAACATTTCCTTGTGGTCCATACTGGAAGGCAGCATGCTCTGGCAGACTGATGTCACCACAGCCCAGATTGCTTCATTCGATACAGAAATGAACGACCCAACCGCGAAGGAGAGCTCGGCATCACTCAGCGTCATGCAATCCCTAGGCAGACAGCTTCCGGCAGCCATTGGCACGCCACTGCCTCGCAGTCCAGCGGGATCAGCGAGGGCTTCCCCGCGACCCACTTTTGCTGGTGGAGATGCCAGCATGAGACGATCTATGCTACGCTTGGCTCTCGGCGGTTCAGATGCCACGGCCAACCCCAGGCTGTGTGAAGGTCATGGAGTCAAGCTTGATAGCTCTTTGCAGACGCTCCAGTGCCATGGACATGCACTTGCTGCGGTCTGGGACTCGCACACGTGTGCCGTCATGATCATCGACTTGACGGATGGACGCCTTTCACTTCATGAAGACATAGATGATGTCCATTCGGCCAGCATCCCCACTGTGCGTCATGTGCCCGGATCAGAGAACAGCATCGAGCTCGTATGGTGCGGCAAAACGGAGGGCAAGTTGAAGAAGCAGCCCTTGAAAGTTTTGACGTCCAATTCGACTGGCGCGCAAGCTACGAACAGTGAATCGACTCAGCAAGTCAAGCATCAGGGTATTGTGTTCGAGGAGATTCCAGATGCAGATAAGGATGGAAGCGAGCAATGGGCACTTGCTGACGACCAACGACAAGCGCAGAAGATATACTTCGTCGCCAATCGTGTTCTGGTCCTGTCGTCAGAAAGACTTTCAGTGCTCAGCACTCAAAGCGGTCAGACTCAATTCACACAAGAAGCTGCCGCAGCAGATCAGTTCAAGCGGCTGTTTGGATCGAGCCGCGACGGTCAACGTCTTCTCTTCAAGACGATAACGGGACTCGGCAAACTCGATCTCGTCACGAAGAGCTTCAATCGCGTCGAGCAGCATGACGTCGGAAATATCTCGAAGAACGAGGGCAGCACACCAAATTTCACCTCAATGGTAGCAAATACTTCCGCACGGCTTCATCTTACGTGGAACACGCCAGGGTCTGGGGCTTCGCTCGACAAGGTGTTCCTCCTGCAGCCACTTGCCGCTGATGATGCTAACACAGACTTGCAAGCGCAATCTGCAACGGAGCTAGCTGCTTTGAATCTGGCGGACTCGCGATTAGAGGACTTGCTTTCGGATCCCAAGTCGAGCTCTGTAGCTGGCCCTTCACCGGGACAACCTGCTCAGCCATTGCAGCAGGAGGGGCGGGTCGCTGCGGGCGATCGTGTTACCGCTATTCTCCCTCTCAGCCTCGAGAAAATTGCAGTCGCTAGCTCTGGTGGTATTCGCATCCTTCCTCTCAAATCCATAGCTGCTGGAGTCACCAGTCCAGCTACAGCACTTCCAAACAGTCTGAGCCTGGATCACCAGATCTGTCTCCTCCGCTCTGCCGTAGCTCCTCGGTCAGGTCATCGCCTCATCATTGGTGGAACGCTTGAAGGCGGCGTCGGCTTCTGGACCACGTCCTCTCATCCAGATCAGAGCAGCGGGTCAACCAGCGTGCCCGTTTTGGAAGCCACGCTCTCGGTCTCAACAACGCCCGTAGAGGCCCTCGTGGTCTTTGGCGATGAGGACAACGCAATTCGAATGCACGGCTGTGTCGCTTGCATCTGCGCAGACAGCTCAGTCACCATCGTTCTTCTGGAAAGCTTCCGTCCGCTCTACACTGTACCAGGTCGAGGTGCGCGCCTGACATCTTTAGCAGTACGTGCTGATGAGCTGCTTCTCACCTATGATGACGACAAAGCTCGCGTATGGGATCTGCAGTCGCAAGAGCTCCGACGCAGTATTGCAACTTACCAGGCGCAGGCGCTCGTAGAGGACGGCAAGGGATGGTGGACAGTGAAGACCATCGAGCCATACAGCCCCCTGCACTCGGGCACTACCGGTGTGCTTTCGCCACTGGCTGCAGCACGCGACGAGGCAGCCGCGGCGTTGCTGGTCGATCTGCGCCGTGCTATTGAGGCTGCCGCGCGTTCTGTCCGCGCACCTGCCACGAACGAAGCGTCGGCAGCACAACATCCATCCGCTCAGACCCAAACGACCTCTGCATCCGGGTCGGCAACTGCCGCCTCTCTTCAGCCACCGGCCACGTTACGCTCCGAGCAAGACATGGACAAAAGCGGTGCTACCACATCCGTCAGCATTGGCTCGCCCGCCGCGCGCAAGGCAGTCAACATCGTTCGTCCTTTGCTGCCGACTGTCTTCCCAATCGGACTGGACACCAACATGGACGCCAAGCTCGCCGCTCTGCTCGATCTTGATGATGGATCGAAGAGTCACAGTGCTTTCGCCGTCGGCCTTCATTCCACGTCGGATGCTCTAATGGTAGGCGACTCTTCTGCAAAAGCCAATTCTGACTCGAACGCCAAACAAGGATGGAAACTGGGCTCGCGGCTTACCACCACACGACTTCTGTCGGCGTCCGCGTTGCTGCGAGTTCTGGGCAATATAAGCGAGTTAAGGGGTCTCACCGAGGAGCTGCAGCAATTTGTCGAGGATGACGCCCAGCTTTCATCGCTCGTGGGCGTAGGTTTCCGTGGTGTGACACTGACTGAGCTTGTTCCATACTGGCTCGACTCGAACCCGGAGCTTCAGAGTGCTAGTCGTGCCATGTTCCACGCCGCACTGACACGTCTAGACGAGAAGCAGTTAGAAGAGATTTGCACTCAGTGGCAGGGTCTGCTCACCTCAGCAAAGGCGACGACACTGGTGTCAAAAGTTGGTGCTGACGGCAAAGTAGCCAGGGCAGTGGCCTCGGGTGCTGGCGGCGAGGCTGAGCTAAGAACGAGAGCGTTGGCTCTTCTCGGCAGTATTGCAGTGGAACGCTACACTAGTCTCTCTCCGAAAGTTCTTAAAGACATCGCCAGCACGATCCAGGGCTCTATCACGTCGGACAAAGGCAGCGAGATGCGCCTTCCACGAGAGCTGCAGATGCTGGCTGTTGCGATTGAGCTGTGTCGCAGCGGCTTTTCAATGTGGCAGCACTACTTTGACGCGACCGAGGTGGTGCATTCTCTGTTTGCGCTCAGTACTTCGACGACCTCTTCTGGTAGCAGCGGCAGTGGAGGTGACAGCGAACTGCGTGCACTGGCCAGGTCAGCAACGCTGCAGATCGCAGCTGAAAACACGCCGCTCTTCATGACGACCCTCTCGCTGGACATCTTGCATGCGCGATCAGCTGCACACTGCGCAGCCACGATGCGACTTGTCGCGTTCATGGTTCGAAAGCGACCCTCCGTGCTTGTCGCTAACCTACCCAGACTGGCCGAAGCGGTGGTCAAATCGCTCGATCCGACGCATACAACGATGCGAGAAGCAGTAGTCAACGCAGCCACAGTGATGATTTCAGAACTGGTATCAACCTATCCCAGTGTTAGCTTCTTTGGCGGAGGACAGAGGCTTGCGGTGGGGACCCACGAAGGAGCGGTGATCATGTACGATCTCAAGACAGCGACAAGGTTGTATGTGCTGGAAGGACATCGTCGACGAGCGGATGCGGCCAGTTTTAGTCCCGATGGACGTCGACTAGTGACGATGAGCTTGGAGGAAGGCAGGGTGTTGGTGTGGAAGACGTCTTCCGGATTCAGCAGTTTCTTTTCTCCCGGTCAGATGCCAAGGCAAGGTGCAACGGATGTCAAGTTGACCGATGGAGCATACAAAGCATTCTTGTTCAATGTTGGTGATCAACAGCATAGCTTGTCGCGGCCTTCGTCGATGGTTGTCAATGATCCAGCTGCAAGTCTGGTGCACGGTGGAGATGGGCATGGACAGGAGGAAAATTTTGTCGGGTTTGACAAGATTGGGTTTCAGTGGAACTCGGAGCGCAGTGTCAGGGTTCAGATCGGGGAGGCGCAGCTCAATATCAGCGTTGACTAGGCAAATGTAAGCATTGTCACCCTTATCAGTCGACATGGACCCTGCCGTGCTATTTTATGGTGAGAAGAAGGTAAAGCGGTTGGCAGCGTAGCGAGCAGATATTTAAAATATGTTACGTCGCGGAGTTCGACACGCAAAATTTTCGAAGGTTGGCTAGGCACGTGAGGTCAATTTGCGCCAACACAGAGCGCGAATTGAGGCAGCTTTCATCATCCTGTGGGCAACCCCTAAACTCACCCCTTAAGCCTCCTTGTCGAGGAAGCATCGAATGCTGCTCTGCTTTGCAACGCAATGGGATGCCACTCGAATCCTCATCTCACCGCTAACACACCGTCTCTCCTTGTAGCTTGATGGCCTTGGCCGTCTTATATGAAGCTGGAGAGTCGGCGGGGGGACCGTTGGTTGGAGTTTGCTATTTGACAGGTTGACGGGCTCTTTGGCGCAATTGTGAAATGTAGAACTGTCATTCAGCATCCAATTTGCGCTTTTCCGGGATCTTTTATGCGCTGTGTTGCCGTCTTTGGCAGGCGCAGAATTATCCGTAGGGGAGGAAGACAGACCAACACTCCTCCTTTCTAGCAATGGTCCTTTGTCAGCGGTGCTCCTATTCTTGTCCCTTCTGATGGGCGAAAAGCTGCTTTAGTGTGCCGGCTTCTTCGTAATCTTGGCTGAGTTTCTACTCTCTTTTCTCTCCGGCTTACCTTCCCACTTGGCCCCTTCTTGAGCTAATTGTAAGCTGCTGCTGATGTTCGGCGCAGCCCACCCGCCCACAGGTCAGTGCGTTGCATTCATAGTCTCACCTTCTTCATCTTTGCTGTCCAAAGCTCCAAGCTCTTTGCTCTGTCTCTCCTTGTCACCATCACCATCAGATCCCAGAGCGTTCTTTCCTTCACTTTCCCTCCTTATCACGACTACTAGTCTCCCCCTTAACGACACATCTTACGATTCCTTTCAGCACTCCATTCAAACTGACGAATCTCACAGCTCACACGAGCGATCTCACGACCACCCATGGCATACTATCAAAGACCGGCTTCAGCCGCCGGTCACAATCAGGACGATCAAGACCTAGCCAATCAATACCCCCACTACCCCGATCCGGATCTCATCGTCGGTAGCGGTGCCAATACTTCCTTCGCCAACCCATACGAAGCATCTGCTGCTTCCCATACATCCCCTTTCTCTGACTCGCACGCTCCCACACCCATCCTTCCTGTTTCACACCAGCCACAACAGCATATGAGCATCAGCATGGATCAACAACAACGAATGCCACAGTTGAGCGAGAACTTCTACAGTCAAGCTGCCTACGCACTTGCTAGTCCTCCACCTCCTGCGGCAAGGATGGCTTCGTTACCGGAGTATTCTCAGGCTGCGGCGGTGTCGTCGGTGGATGGTGGGTATAGTTACTATGCGAACCAGACGCAGAGTGCTGCTGGCCACTACTCGTCTTTGGGACATGGCGAAGCGGAGGAGGGAGAAGAGGATGATGATGATGCAGCAACAAAGTACTCCCCTGGTTCAGAGTATCATGAAAAGCATGAGTACCAAGGGGCTGCAGCTTCTCCATTTGGTAGGGCTGCTGGGATGGCTTATCTCCAAAGCCCCTATGCTCAGGTTAAGGATGATGACGATGATGACGATGCTGAAGACCCTTATGGTGCCCTCACCCGCGAGACGGCTTTCGGTGGCGATCCTAACAATTTTTCCGGAGACCACAACCCATACTCAGCAGGATCCAGCTTTGCCACTGCTGGTGCTGGCCCCGGTCAATTTGGAGACCACGCCTTCGACACACAACACTTCGGCCCCGCTCCCGCCCGCGGAGCACAACTCCGTCGTCACAAAACCAAGAAAAACGTCCGCCTAACAAAAGGAAACCTCATTCTCGATTGTCCCGTCCCCACCAAACTCCAAACCTTCCTCACCCGTCGAGCCGAAGATGAATTCACAACCATGCGCTACTCGGCCGTTACTTGCGACCCGGACGATTTCGCAGCTGAAGCCTTCACCCTTCGACCCGCTATCTACGGTCGACACACCGAACTCTTCATCGCTATCACCATGTATAACGAAGATGAAGTCCTGTTCTGTCGAACCTTTCACGGTGTGATGAAGAACATTGCGCATCTCTGTTCCCGAAACAAATCGCGCACGTGGGGGAAAGAAGGGTGGAAGAAGGTGGTGGTTGCCATCATTTCCGATGGACGTAAAAAAATTCATCCTCGTGTGTTGGACTGTTTGGCAGCGTTGGGGGTGTACCAGGATGGAGTGGCGAAGAATATGGTTGATGGTAAAGAAGTTCATGCTCATCTGTATGAGTATACTACTCAGCTGTCGATTGATTCGAACTTGCAGTTTAAGGGAGCGGAAAGAGGGTTGGTGCCGATGCAGATTATTTTTTGTTTGAAGGAAAAGAATGCGAAGAAGATCAATTCGCATAGGTGGTTCTTCAACGCTTTCTGTCCTATCCTTCAACCGAATGTTACGATTCTGTTGGATGTGGGGACTCGACCGGAGAACAAGTCGATTTACTACCTCTGGAAGTCCTTCGATCTCAACTCGAACGTAGCGGGAGCTTGTGGAGAGATTTGTGCGGAAACCAGAGGGAAATGGGGTGTGGGACCTCTTTTGCTAAACCCTCTGGTGGCAGCGCAAAACTTCGAATACAAGATCAGCAACATCTTGGACAAGACTACGGAAAGTGTGATGGGTTATATCAGCGTCTTACCAGGTGCCTTTTCTGCGTATAGGTATATCGCATTGCAGAATGACGAATTCGGCCATGGACCCTTGGCGTCTTACTTCAAGGGGGAGAACCTTCTTGGAGCAGACGCTGACGTTTTCACCTCCAACATGTATCTCGCTGAAGATCGAATCCTTTGTTTCGAACTCGCAGCGAAACGTGGACACGGATGGGTTCTCAAGTACGTCAAATCAGCCAGAGGAGTAACCGACGTCCCCGAGGGTCTACCCGAGTTCATCTCCCAACGTAGGAGGTGGTTGAACGGATCCTTCTTTGCGGCCGTGTATGCGCTTTACCACACTGCGCAGTTCCTTAGGTCTGGGCACAATGGTTGGAGGAAAGCATTGTTGGTGTTCGAAAGCCTTTATTCGTTCATCAACATGTGTTTCGCCTGGTTTGGGTTGGCCAACTACTACATCTTTTTCCGGATCCTTACGACTTCCCTCGAAGACCCCGCATTCAAGCTTGGCGGTATTGGAGTGTTTAACGTCTTCATGCAGTACATCTATCTGGGAACGGTGGTGGCAAGTTTCATTTTCGCAATGGGCAACCGTCCTCAGGGATCGAAATGGAAGTATTGGGCCGCAGTGATCATTTTTGCCCTTCTCACAGTGTATATGATGGTCGCAGCGGTTCTTTGCATTAGCAAGGTAGTGAAGAGGGTGGAACATGATGTGATTTACGCACAGATGGTGGTCTCACTCCTTGCCACCTACGGTGTCTATCTTATTAGTTCCCTCCTCGCTTGCGATCCATTGCATTTGGTGACAAGCTTCTTGCAGTACTTGCTGCTGGCTCCTACCTACATCAACATCCTCAACATCTACGCCTTTTGCAATCTCCACGATTTTTCTTGGGGCACAAAAGGTGATACTGCCGTATCCAAGGATCTCGGAGCAGTCGTTTCTACGGGTAAAGGAACCGTCGAAATCACCCTGCCCACAGCTCAAGCCGATATTGACACCGCTTACGACGACGCGCTAAACAACCTCCGTACCCGTCCGATGATCATTCGCGGCGACGCAAGTAACGAAGAGAAGGCGGCCAGACAGATGGATTACTACAAGAATATCAGGACGAATGTGGTATTGGCTTGGGCGTTGAGTAACGGTGTAGTGGCGGCCTTCATTTTGAGTGGCGATGCGACTTCGACGTTCGATTCGGGTTCGGGAGTGACGAGGACCAAGGTGTATATGGTGTTGGTGTTGGTGTTCGTGGCCGGAATGGCTTGTATCAGGTTCATCGGTTCGACGCTGTACTTGACTATCCGACTTATTAACGGGTAGAAAGTATTATAGCAGATCGATTTCGCTTTCTTCTTTTGTTGCGCCTTTCTTAGTTTGTATTCCATCTTGTTTCATTAACGGACTTTCGGTTTCGGTTTCGGTTTCCGGATTCTCAGTTCCATTCTCTTGTACGATATGTTTGCATGACTGTTCAATACGAGTCTTGAAGCCCCATCATAAGTGGTTTTTGGCGACAAGTGTGACAATGCAGTGCTAACGATGAATACAAGTACAATCTGATATGGTTCAAAACATTCCGAAGCTTAGGCCAGAATGGGAGCCGCTTCATTTACATGCGTGGAGCGATCTCCCATCGACAGATCGCCATCGGATATCCTTGTGTCGAGTGGAGACACAAATGTATCAGCAGCCGCAGCAGCGATTTGGTAGCTGGCACGGCGCGCCTCGGCGGCCTGCACCCTCTCCGTGATCTCGTCAGTGATATGGAGGCCGTTCGATGCGGTATTGAGTGCGGCGTAAGCGAGGACACGCTTGAGAATGCTGAGAGCTGCGTCAATCTGGACCAACAGGGGCTGCGTGTTGGCCGTGGCCTCGATCAGATCAAAAGTGCATATGGTATGGCGTACAAGCGTGTCGACGTCGGAGACGGTCGTGCGTAGAGCCGTTTGATCGATGACATGCGCATCGAGATCCTGCTGCATAGCAGTGATCATCTCCTGCACGATGCCGAGCCAGAATTCGATGGTGGGATGGTGCAGAGGGAATAGCGTCTGTGACTGCTGCTGCTGTTGCGGTGGTTCCTGTGCAGAAGATGCCTGCGTTGCATCTGGCACGACAGTGTCTACCGCGTTGATGCTGTTCAGAATCACTCCAGGCCAAGTCCAGAGTCGGTACTTGCGCCAAATGGTGAGTCGCACCCAGACATGCATTCGACAGAACATCTGCAGTGTCCTGCCGAGCACATTTTGCTTTTCGGCGTCGCTGCGCGGACGATGGCGCACAAAGGCCTTTTCCAGGCGATCGAGAGCGCGCAGAATCCCCTTGACCTCCTTTAGCATCTCTGGCGTGGGTGAGCTAGACTCAGGTACCTCCTTGATCTTTTGCAGCTTCGATAACGACACGGCAAGCCGAGAAAGATGGGCGGATCGCCTCATAAGGTCCTGAGAGTGAAAGAAGGGAGGTGGCAGCTTGTAAGGCAGCAGACTTGGTTGCCAGAAGGCCATGGGTCGGATCTCTAGGATATATTCGGGCAGGTCGACATCACCGAAGTCCTCGTCTGGTTTGGCGATGTATTTGCGGAGGCGGTGGCTAATACCCGTCCAACACAATCGGACAATGGATTCGTACTTGACTTCAGACTCGGGAGAATGCGAGGTGACGGGTCTCGACCAATACAAGGGCGAGTCAGGTTCGCTGTCTTGCAGCAAGGGCTCTCGCGACGAAACCCTTTCGTGCAGTCTGAGAATGCGGACGACGTTCTCGGCGAGCCTGATCAAGCTAGACTGTTCGGTACTGCCGTCGGGCTGTGTGAGAGCCAAGATACTCGCAGCTTGACCGATCGAAGGTGACAGGGCCGATCCATGGGCGGTCGAGGTCTGGAGGTAGTTGGCGGCCATGTCGGAAAGACGTGATGCGAGCCTTCGAGAAGCCTCGTTGGCGGCGCGCATGTCTCCTGTGCCTTCGTCTGCGATGCGATCCTGATGCATGTCGCAGGCAGACACGGCGAGAACAGCGAGGTAGAGGACCGGATCGCCGTGGGTATAACCATGACTGCCAGAGACGACATTGAGCAGGGTAGGTGCATGCAAGAGGCCAAAGAAGACGGCGTTGGACTGAACGAAACGGGTGAGAAGATGTCGGACCATGCGCATCGATGTTGCTCTCGACCTGCCAAAGATGGCGAGCAGTTGATTCCACCAATCTTCTTGACCGCCAAAGGTTGGTTCCATGGGTATCGGCGCATCGTTGTTCTGTATCATGGCGAGGTCGGAGCCAGGCATGCTGCTGCTCGGACTCGAAGCGCTTGTCGCACTCGATCTACGACTCTGGTCTGAAGTAGTAACGGGTGAGTATCGCCGCTCTTGATCGCTCGACTTCCTGAAGCGTTTGGAAGAGTCGGTCTGACTTGCATCGCTGGCGCTGAAGGAGCCATTGTGGGCATCAAAAGTATTCGAAGACTCCCTCCGCTTCGTGCCTCGTTCGCGTTCACTCGCACCTGTATGAGCCATTTCGGCATGTTTGCTCTTGCTTTGATCGTTTGGGAGGGAGGCGTGATTGCCCTTGCCAGGACTGGAAGGAGCGCGAGCCGAGCCTTTTGCTTTACCTTTGTTGGGCACATAGACGCAATCGATGCTGCGTCTCTCACAATGTCTGCAGGGAGTAGCTCCATCGCATCGCAACTTGCGAGCTCGGCAGAAAGTGCATGCAACTCTAGCTCGGGGAGGATCAGGATCTGCTGACTGAGCAGCAGCAGCGCTGGGAGCAGGCTGGACTGAAGGAGTGATCGGTGGTGGATCGCGGAAAGATGCAGGAGCATGCGCGGAAGCGTGCATCATTGACGGTATCGGTGCATTGCGTGGGATTGCGCGGTCATCCTCAAATCTTCTCCATTCTTCGTCCGAGCTCCTGCTTGAGTCAAGAAGCGGTACATCTGAAGCCATTGGTGGTCCTACGCCATAAGAAACGGTAGCGGCTGCAGCCATGGGCAATCCGGCGAGAATAGAAGAGCGTGCGAAGCCTTCTGCCGGTCTCGGCATGTCGCGGTTGTTCGGAAACCATGTGTCAGGTGAGCTGGTGGTATCCAGCGGACGGGCTGAACGAGCTCCCCATCCGTATTCGGGAGGGTCACGAGAATGGAAAGGCTGACGTGAGAGGCCTGCGTGGTTTGGTGGTGGGAGATAGGTTGGAGATGTAGGTGGGTTCCAACGATTCGGTAGGAAGGCTTCTTCAGGATAGCGAGCTGGGGAGCGCTCGTTCGGAAGTGCTCTTTTGACCATGTCTTGTGGTCGAAGGGATGAAGCTGGAGGTGGTTGGAGTAGAAGAGGGGCGGCACTACGCCGATAACAGCAAGAGGCGTTATAATGTCTCTACAAGGGTTGTGCGTCCATTCAGCATAGTCACGGTGAATGCGCCTTGAACAGTCAGTGAGTGAACCGAATAGAGCGATGGGTGGCGTGAGAGCAAAGATGGTGTTGTGACTGAAAAGCAAAGCCGGGCTGGATCACAGGAAGCCGAGGTGGGAATTGCAAGCTTCACTATTGCAGCAAGTGTATATCTGCGATAGTATGTTGCCCAAGCGTGTTCTAGCCGAAACTATCGTTTTGCTTCTGAGAGGGGTGTGATGAAGATGGTAGGCGTAGCGGCGTGATGGCTTGTAGTCTGCTTTCGCCTCTGGCGCCTTGAGACAAGAAACGAATCCGAAGTGGTGACAGGGTAATCGAAGGGGCGGTAGTGTACTGTATGTGACAGATGGAGATGGTGATCAGAATGTGATGGAGGGAAAGAATGTGGTTGTGATGGAGCGGGAAAGCCGAGTAGAGATCCACATGTGTCGAAGCAGGTTGGACCGGGTCGCCGTGGAGTTGAGTGATTCAGACTTGGACGACGATGAAAGAAACGCAGATCAACGGCGGTACACATGTGCAGTCGTGCATCGGGATAGAAGATGCCAAGCGCAAGCGGTCAGTGCTCTTTCTCTCAATACACACTCAGCAGGCTCAACAAACCGGTATTCCAACATTCGACTGATGAGTGACCACGTCCTCTTTTGACTCACGATTCCGAGAAAATATTGCCGGCAGCTGGGCGGTCATGAACTGCTTGAGCTCTGGTTGTGTTTCATTTGCAGCTGCCTGCCTCCCACATTTTGCTGCAAATCCACACTGGAACTGTAAGGGCGCCAAAGCTGGTAAAAACTGAGCTTTTTCCTCTTATTTTCCTGGATAAAAACAAATTTCGAATTGCGATGCGATTTTGGCTTGCCAAAGGCTGTCTCTTCTGCCCCGGCAATTTGGTCACAGGACGCTGCTCGATGCTCGGCTCGCGGTCCGTTGAAGCTCGGCAGGCAATCGATCGGGCTCTGTCGAACAGCGCGAGCAAGAGACTCAAGAGATCTTCGATGTTGATGATGATGATGATTGGCGACGTTCCGATAGGTCGTGTTGCTGCCTTTTTGCGGCTGCTTGAGCTCAACCGAGTCAAAGCCTATCTTGACACTGAGTTGGCCGTTGCGGCGCATCCGATCTGGGCAGATGACAAGTTGAAAATAACAATCGTGCGTCCAGAATGCAGGTCTGATGTTCGCATGCCCTGGTGCATAGATTGTCGGCTCCACGCCATTCAGCACGCCTTGAATTGCTTTCAGATGCGAGCTTGGGCCCATGCAACGATAAAACGACTATTGTGACCAGCGGCAGAAGAAGCGTTGCGCTGCATCGGCTCAGATCCGATCGGTGCGATCGGATCTGAGCCGACAATGCAGACCCCAAGCGTAGCAGCCTCGCTCCTTGTCGCTCGGCTGGACTGACCTGGATGCTTGACCCACCCCCCTCCTCTTTTGACTTGGCACGTACTGCAGTGGCAGATTTGGGCTGCTTTCGTGATGGCGTAACGATCATTTGGCGCTGAAAGTCAACTCACACCCGACGTAGCACCTTTGGCATCGGAACATCCGACAGGAGCTCCTCCGTCCGTCGTCTGACCGCAAAGCTATCCTTTTCAGCTTTGCTAGGCTGACTGAGCCTCGTAATCACCTACGCTTCAAGCACCAGAGTGAGGTCTGCTATTGATAAGCTTGCCGCCTGCTCAGCAAAAGAGATTACTTTCTATAAGAGCATCTTTCAGCTTGCAGCTCATTAACACAGGCTCACATACACAACCACTTTGAAGAAACATGAGCATTGCAACACCATCCCACGATTTCAACACCGCTAGCCAAACCGCTCCTGGACGGTCGCTGCCAACGAACGACGAGCGCGAAACCTGTCATCCACCCATCACAGCATTAGCAATCGAAGCTCAACATGCCAAGTTTGGCTGTGCTGTATTCGTAGAGGAAGAGCAACAGCTGCTTCTATGCGAAGACCTTTCCTGCGACTTTGCCTTTGACGATCGCGACCAGCCTGATCTCATGCCTGTCCTGGTGCCTAATCCAATTCAGGCCCAAGCAAATACCGGCGATGGCCATGGTAACAATAATGCTCATCTTGAACAGCGGCCTTCAGGTCGAGACAACCGTCTTGACGCCGCTCATGAGGGAGGCGACGATAACACTGATGGCGCAACCCCGACATTCAGCGACCACGCTTTCGGTTTCATCGAAAGCTGTAAGCATAAATATCACCGCTTTCCCACTTCGACGTCCGATCGTCCCTGTGTACTGAAGCGATTGTCTTCCCACTATTGACACTGACAGTACTCGCGCAGTTCAAGCCAGATCTCATTGTGGTGTCCTCTAGATGTCCAGAGTCTTTTCTCGTCATGCTGCAGCACCATGGTAAGTCCTTAACATTTGTCTACTCTAGAGCAATCACAGACACCTTACTAAAGTTTCTCCTCGTACCAATCCTACTCGCTTGCAGCTGACCAGAGAAATAGTACTCTCCAGGTGCGCTCGGCGAGGGACTTTCAGATGACTTTAGGTCTTTCAAGCATCGAAGAGGCTACAGCGCTCACTCGAACATTTGCAGCCAGTTCCGTGACCTCCGGGTACACGTCTGTCGACGAAGGGATTATGAGTGGCCTCGTGGTACTCGACGCCAAGGTGGCTACGGCCAAGTCGCCTCTCTCGGTAAGTGGCACATCTGTTGTCTGTTTTGTACTGTCGAATCTGCCTGCAGATGTCTGTTCCAATCCTCCTGCTTATCGACACTGCACTTTGTGATGTCTATCGATTGACTTGCAGATCGCCGCCGTCGGACCTCTCTTGTCGAGTCTGCGCAGCAACAGGGACATCGGCAGATCCCTCACACTAGTGTCGCTCTGCCTGGGCGACTACCTTTTCCTCGATGAGAACTCACTGAAGAGCCTGAGCATCTGCTCGAGCGATGTACACGGATTTGTTCATGCTAAAGAGGGCAGAGAAGGGTTCACTATCCTAGGTATATATATATAGCAGCTCTCAGCCCACTCGGCAAGCTATTTCGACCACTGACAGCTCATCTCCTTTGCGTTGCAGCCATGCTGAGTCTGACATGCTCCAAAAGTGAGTCCACAGCTTCGTTCGCGAAAGATGATGTGCGAAACGCACGTACGATTGACGCTTATTTTATCTGTCCAATCAGACTCACACCACTTACTCAGAAGATGGATCATGCTGCCACTAGCAAAACGCAATGACATCAGACGAAGGCACGAAGCCGTAGAGCTGCTCGTACGGCAGGAGAGCTCCGCCGAACTGATCGCTATCCGTCAGGCTCTCACCGAGCTCGGCGGACTTCCACAGCTCTGCTTCACGCTCAATCAGGGTGTCGGTACGGTCTTCTCTTGGGAAAAGTTATACAAGGTTGGTATCCCGGCTAGAGAACAGGTGAAGATGATGCATCTGACTGTTATTTGGACCACCTTTGACATCTGCGGATATAGACTTGTAACGCTGTCTTGAAGATCTGCTCAGCTCTGAACGGCTTAGAGCTAGCCATGTCGGGGCTTATCTCGGATGTGAGTTGATGCGATGCGCTCAGAAGGCCGATCGAGTGCGTACCAAGCTGATTTGCAATCTTGGCGCCGTCTCCTTGTCTACGCAGATCCGTTTCCAACTCATAATCGATCCGTTCTTGCGCCTAGCCGACAAGATCCAAGAAATTGTAAGCATTGAACCAGAATCTCGATCTTCTGAGAGCTCTGTACATCAAACTTATACCCGTCTCCTCTTCTCCGTCTACCACAGATTGATTTCGCGGAGAGGTATGTCTGGCTACACCCTGAAAACAACCAAGGCCGTATCACGATCTGCTGACGTACGTTAAAGTATGGCTTGAATAGCAAGAACAAGGGCAAGGTCACCGTAAAAGCAGGTCTCGACGAGCGTCTCGACACTCTCAGAAAAACAGAAGCCAACCTACCATCGCTGCTGAACAGAGAAGCGGCCAATCTGCGAAGCAATCCTGCTTTTCGCCCCACGAACAGGTAAGTCGGGACCAAACACCACGGTCATTCTTTCGAAGCACTGACACAGTTATCGGAATGTGTTTTTCGACACAGGATTAATGTCGTCTACTTTCCTCAGATCGGCTACTTGATCGTCGTTCCCGCTGGTGAGGTCGTTGACATGATACAGGATCCGAGTTTGGAGAAGCCTTTTGAGACTCAGGAGTAGTAAGTCATGCTTTTTTTATCGCTCGCAACCGGGCACCGTACTTAGAGACCTTCAAAGGGGGTCTGACGAAACAGGGTGTTGATACTTGACGATGTCGATCTTTCCATTTGCTGGATAGTGTCTATCTGCGGAACAGCCGAATGGAATTCTTGAGCGACCACGTAAGTTGAACCCTTCCGTGCGCTAGACTACGTTTTGCAAAACTGACACAGATCGAGTTCGAGAGTACGCAACAGCTGGGTGACATAGCCTCCTACATCGCAGATCGAGAAATCGAGATCTTGGACGAACTGTACAAGCTGCTGGAAGAAAGCAGTCCAGCTTTGCTTGCTGCCCATGCAGCCTTGTCTCAACTTGACTGGTAAGTCAGAGACCATCCTTGACTCTGTGGGAGGAACGCTGATACGAGCTGTCACCTTGCCTTAGCCTGATTGCTTTTGCGAGAGCTGCTACATTGTACGACCTCAGAAGTAAGTAGACCTTTCGATACGTATGCACTGGAGAGGCATAGCTTTGGCTCACCTCCGATGCCTACCATTCAACAGGACCAACGCTGGTCGAGGAACAGGTGGTGAGGCTCAAAGGTAGTCGCCATGCGCTCAAGGCGCTGTCTGATGAAAGCTTTGTAAGTTCTTGCATCATGTTGTAAGAAAGCTCGAACGTCTGGCTACTGATCAATCGGATTTCGAGTAGGTGCCGAACGATATCGAGCTGCAAGGTGGCGTCGGACTCCAAACTGAGGGTAACGCGGATGACACTCAATCGGGACAAGATCCTGCTAGGGAAGCAGAAGACGAGGGACAACAGGCTTCACAAACCCAAGGGCCTGCGGAAGTGTCGAACAAGATGGACGGCAAGTGCAGTGTTATGGTTCTAACAGGCGCGTGAGTACAACCCCTTTGACCGCGGTCTCTTGGTGACATGCTGACTTGTTCGTTCGAACGCTCTTTCGACAGGAACTCATCTGGCAAAAGTTGCCTCCTGCAACAAGCGGCGCTAGCGGTGTAGGTACTCTCCCGCCCACTGTCCACCCATGCAACAAGCTTCGCTTTGCTGACAAGCACCACTCTGGATCCTCGCAGCTTCCTCTGCCAGTGTGGAAGCTTCGTCCCCGCGACTCGTGCAGAACTAGGTGTGTTTGACAGAAGTGGGTAGCCAGCTTCGTTTCGTCGACGTATTGCGAGAGAAGGGTTTTCGGTCTGACGCTTTTCTTTCCTTATGATCGAAGTCCTGACGAGAATGAGACAGGACGAATCTGTCGCTAGCGAGGGAAGCTCCTTCACACGCGAACTAGGACGCTTGCATCGAGCCATGTCCATGTCGACCAAACGAAGCCTGGTTGTTCTTGATGAGGTGGGAAGAGAGTGTCGAAGCGACGGTGAGTACAGCATCATCTGGCCCCATGCTGTAAGGAGTAACAGAGCTGACATCCGCATCACATGCACAATGCTTGCAGACGGAGCCGGCCTATTCATCGCGACCATCGATGAATTCTTACAACGCGGCCAAGACTGTCCTGTCGTCTTATCTGCCACTCATCATCTTCGTGAGTCACCTCAGCTCGCTTCACTCAACTACCATAGCTTCGCTTTTACTGAACCTAGTGTCTTTGCTTTTCGTAACGAACAGGAGCGATCGAAAGACATCTCCCGCACTCGCTCCCAATCCTACGAGCGCACATGCAAACTCTCCTCCTTCCGACCCTTACCGACCTACACAACTCTCTCACCTACCTCTACCGGCTCAAACCAGGCTTTGCTGGCACCTCCCACGCATGTCACTGTGCTCGACTCTGCGGTGTGCCCGAATCGGTTGTCGAACGAGCTGATCGCATCTGCCGTGCAGGCTTGAGGCAGTGGCATGATTTGGAAGCAATGCGGGACGAGGCGATCGTGCGAAGGCTGTTGCAGCTTCAGTTGGGGAACGATGTTGAGGAGGGAGGGGATGAGCAGCAGATGAGCCAACAGCAGCAGGTGATGAAGATAGATGATGAGGAGGCGAGGAAGTTGATCCATTGGATTTTGTGTGCTCAGGATAACGAAATGCAGGAAGAAGGAGCGGCAATGCAAGGAGAGTAAGTGGCGGCATACCTTGGTGAAGGTGACAAGGTAATGCGATTCCGTATGAGATCAAAGGAGTGTGTGCGATGTGTGACTACTGAATCTTGCCGCGAGAAGCACGACGACAAGCATCCGGATCGTACTTCATGATCCATGGATGCCTTAGCACCTTTGTCAGAGGCAATCGATCGTCTGGTTTCTTCTTGAGCAGCTGTTTTAACCACCACCACGATCCAGGCGCAAATATGAGTCAGTATGGCCGCATCCTGGTGTAGCTCGCATCCTAGGCTCGATACTTACGGCACGAACAAGGTCAGCAGCCTCCGGGCTAAAATGACGAGGGATCTTAAAGTCGATATTGTTGATTCTCCTATATGTTCCCGCTGTAATATCGCAAACACACCCCGAACTTGTCAGCTTTCGCATTCCCTCTCTCCTCTGCGTCGGTCTGGTGATACGTACCTGGAGCGTTCTCCAACTCCTCAAACGGCGGAACCCCCTCTAAGAATTCATAACACAGTACACCCAGTGCCCAGAGATCGACCGCTTTATCGTGTTGTTCGCCGTTGACCATCTCTGGTGGAAGATAGTCTAGTGTACCGCAAAGTGTTTGACGACGATTTCCTGGTGCATGGACGCTCCAACCGAAGTCACCGATTTTGAGATCGCCTTTGATGCCGAGTAGAAGGTTCTCCGGTTTAATATCGCGATGTATAACATGTTTGCTGTGAAGATAGGATAGTGCGTCGGCCATTTGTGCTATGTACTGTTTCCCAACCAATACAGAGAATGAGGGTCAGACGACATTGTACGCAGAAACAAACGATGTTTGGGTGAGCAACTTACGGTAGCAGCAACTTTCTCTTCAAACCTTCTATCAGGTAACTTATTCATCAATTTATACAACTCCCCTCTCCCTGCAAATTCCAACATCAAAAACACTCTCCCTTCATCATGGAAATAACCGTGCAATCTTAGGATGTGTGGATGACGAAGGTTCATTTGAATCTCGATCTCTCTTCGTAGTTGTTTTTCGACTCTGTTCTCGACAAGTTCGTTTTTGTACATGCATTTCAATGCGATGATATAGCCTTTATTGGGTCCTCCACGCGTACGGACCATGTATACACGACCGAATTTACCTTTGCCGAGGGGTCGACCCATTTCGAAGTCGTTCATCGACCATTGTCGCGTTGGTGGATGAGATTTTCCGCAGTCAGCAGAGGAGAGGCTTAGAGGGTCGAATTGCATTGTACCCCGACGTCCTCGAGCTTCGTCTCGTTCTAGGCCTCCATCGTAGCGGCCCAGATCGACGACGGCTGCTCCGGGCGCTGCGGCGGTGGGAGCGGTTGCTTTGGATGAGCCCGGCTGTTTTGATGGCGGTGCTGCAGCGGTAGGGCGGTGGGACGAGCTGGTGCCAGCAACACTAGGCGGCCTGCTCTTAACGCTGCTGCTGTGCGCTTGTTGCGTGCTTGGACGTGAGCCATTGATAGATTGCTGTTGAGCAGCGGTGCTGCGGTTCGTACTTTGTGCGATATTGTTCGAGTTGGCGAGTCCGGTGGAGGATACTGCCGAGCCAGCCATACCTGAAGCAGCGATACGGTTAAAGTGCTGCATGTTTACGCCCATGTTCATGCCCATGTTGGTTGCAACGGAGCTGGAGGGAGCGAGAGGACGCATGGAGGAGTTTGTTGGGTGGACAAGTCTGCTGGGTGCTTGGGCGTGTGATGGTCTTGAGCCTTGTTTGAGGTCTGCGGCATTGGAGCCGCCATCGAGGTGAAGGTTTGCTAGCTGGGACTCCATGATGAGCTATGACCGCGACGCAGGGCTAATTACACGCTTTGCTTTCCGAGTACAAGCTACGGGTTCGTGGCCGATGTGAAGATGAAGATGATGGTGGTTGGCGTAAACCGTCTCAAATCGCTTATAGGAAAGTTAAGCAAGTAGCTTCGCGCCGTGTTGGTTGAGTGACACAAGGGTTCAGCAGCAGCGAGAACAACACTCACCTCCGCACCAGAATTCCAAAAAGGCGGCTGCAGAGCGCGTCTCTCTGTCCGTCAAATAACCAACACACCAATTCGCCCTTTCCTTGTCCACACAGCGTCGTGCACGTGACTTCTGCTACCTCCACAAAACCTGGACCCTGCCCTTTTTTTCTATCCTTCGCAAGGCCCTCGTAGAGGATCAGTCACCCCTTCTTACTCCTTCGCACCTTTCCAACGACGAAGCAAAGACAAGATGGTCCTCTACTTCACATCAACATCCGTTGAACCACCAGCACTCATCTACATGGGCAAGGACAAATTCGAGAACGAAGAACTCCTCAAATACGGTCTTGAAAACGATGTCTGGTTTCACGTGGACAAGCTTTCCTCCGCACACGTATATCTTCGTTTACCGCCAAATATCGAATCTTGGGAAGCTATCCCTGAAGCACTGATAAACGACTGCTCTCAGTTGGTCAAAGCAAACTCTATCGAAGGTAACAAGAAATCCAACCTCACGATCATTTACACTCCATGGGCGAACATCAAGAAGACTGGAGACATGGCAGTGGGTGCAGTGACGTTTTTCAACGATCGAAAAGTGAAAAGATTTCATATCAAGGAAAAGGACAACGCGATTGTCAATAAGTTGAATAAGACAAAGAAGGAGGTGCAGGTAGATCATGAGGCTGAGAGGCAAGAAAGGTTGAGAGAAGAGGGGAGGTTGAAGAAGGCGAAAGCCGTTGAAGACGTAAGTGCCCAAACGCGAGTGAGCACGTTCACAGAAACCAATAGATGGACTGACATGCAGCCCTACTGACCATCGACTGGAACAGAAAAAGGCGCAACAAGCCGAACAAAAGCGCAGAAAAGAAGAGGCCGAAGCTCGTGATTACTCCAAGTGTAAGTCCCCAGCTACTGCCCCTATGAGAGCTACAAGCAGCGCTGTAGTCGCCTCTGACCCATACTGAACGCCGCGAACTGAATGCGTTGTGACAACAGTATATACCCCCGAAGCTATGGAAGAAGAACGCAGACGCAGAGAGGAAGAAAACGACGACGGCTTGGACAGTGACGATTCTTTCATGTAGCGGCATCACTGTCACCTCAAGGCGAACAATCTCCACCCTATGGCTCGACCTCATACAGTCCCGACTCTTTCAAATCTGTCGCATCAACATCGAGAAACGATTGCTTAAGGGGATACCAAGATACTATAGTACAACATACAAACGAAGATCAATAACGAGAGGAAACCGAGACGAAAGCAGAACCGACCGAGACCCCACACGACAATCACGAAGGAGCGGAAGTGACTTTGCCAATAACAAGGGAGTGTGAGGCGGTCCGAAACGCAAGCCAAACAGTTTAAGCATCACCAGCGGCCTTCTTCTTGCTTGGCGCCTTGATCAAGGTCTTGTGGATGTGTGGCAAGACACCACCACCAGCGATGGTGGCACGGACCAAGCTGTCGAGCTCTTCGTCTCCGCGAATCGCAAGTTGCAAGTGACGGGGTGTGATGCGCTTGACGCGAAGATCCTTGGATGCGTTACCTGCCAACTCGAGCACCTCGGCGGTGAGATATTCCAAGATGGCGGATGTGTAGACGGCGGCTTTGGCACCGATACGGACGTGGTTCTGGGTTCGGTTCTTCAGGTGACGGTGGATACGACCGACGGGGAACTGTTCGGATGCAACCAGAACAAGCGACAAAAGGCGGAAGGGTCAGTGATCAGTGTCTACATTGCTGGCAGCATCTTCTCGACTCGATGCATCCATGCTGGGGCCGGGCCGGGCGACTGCAGGCTTGAGATGCTTCATGACGATGTCAATCAGCGGCGCCTGCCTTCCATCCTCCGCCAAGCGATGCGGACTCTACCATCAATGATGCATTCCTCGCGCGTTCCAAAGTCCAACCCTTGCTGATCGATCCTCTCGACCCCTCTCTGGACTAGACTCAACTCTCGGCTTCTTTGACGCGTCGACTCGGGACGAGGCGACCTCTGCAGACGAAAGACATGGTCCAAGGAGTCCCAAACGCGTCCCACAAGAGTCTCTGGCGATTGCGGCGCGTCAAAAAGGTGGCGGATGGATGTTATGGATGTAGGTCAAGCTGAACTTTTCAGATGACCGTGCGCGGATGGATGAGCATGGATGGCGTCGCCTCGGATGGCATCGGAGAAAGTCTTTCAGACCGCATAGATGCAGTGCAAGGCGAGCCAAGAAGATGTTGGACATGGTGTGGTTGATGATGCTTACCTGAAGACCGGCACGAGAAGACTGCGTGACCGACTTTTTGGGCTCGACCTTTGCGTTACCTCCCTTTCCACCTTTGGCTCGTGGGTCAGACATATTGGATTGTTGTATTGGGTATTACGTGTCTATGTAGGGACGGTGGTGGCGATGATGATGTGCTGATGCGAAGGAGCGGCAGACCGAGATGGTGGTGTGAATTTGCAATGCCGAGAAAGAAGAAAAAGAAAAAAAAAGAGAGGTGGAGAAGAGGAAGAGGAAGAGGGTGGATGGCGGTCTGGCTGCGCCACGAGCTCAGTTTGTGGACTTTGGCAGGTGCATCATCACCTGCGTGTCGCGACAACAATTTAATCCGTTCCGCTTAGAGGCGATCCTCCCTGATTTCCGCCCGATTTCATTTTTTATGCTTTGTTTTTATTTTTTTGAGAGTGTGAGTCCGCCGAGTGTTTCTCTTGAGAGCGCTTCCCGAGCTGCTTCGCTGCTTCCTGTCAAAGGGTGGGCTTGTGATTGAATAGCGCACGCGACCCTTGCTGCATGCTATCACTGCTTTGCTTCGCAATGGTACTGGCACCTTCTTGCTTGCGATGCCGACTCCTTTGCTGTCATTCCGTTCCTTTCTGTTCCTCAGTCTTTACAGCCTGATGTACTGTGAGCTGCGGACAGATGCCTGTTTGGATTTGCTCTGCGCTGCAGAGAGACCAATTGAGCAGCGTGCATCGTCAGAATGCTCCGTACCATCTAACATCGGGTCAGCTCCTTCCAGGATTAGTCGGACTGAGCTCGCGTTGTGCCCGACCTACTTGGCTTCGAACGATGCTCATTAACAGATTGCGTTATCGGCATGGCCGAATCGCACTGTCTCACGTAGGAACAGCACCGACATGGAAGCTAGTGATTTGGCTTGTGGTAAAGGGATAGGGAGTCGGTTTCGCAACCTCAATTTCCCTTCCAGATTTCTCTCTCTCAAACACAAAAAAAATAAAATAAATAAAAAAAAATAAAAAAAAAAATAAAAAATTGGAGGTCGGCCAGCGCGTTCGTGCGAGAAGTGTTGCGCTGCTTTCGGCATGGCCGAGCTCTGCAAAAACAAAAAGAAGAAAGTAAAAAAAATAGGGGGCGAGGGGCCAGCAGCGAACAGCGAAAGAAGGGTCTCTTCTGGAGAGCACGGTCCTGCGAATAGTTTCTGTGTGTGTTGTTATGTGACGCGGTTGGATCCGAAGCATCGCTCATCGTCGCGCTTTGGGGTCCTTCTCTGTAATCACATCCGCTTCATATCACACGCACAAGCACACAACCCACCTCTTCACGCTGTCACAGCAGAGCGCGTGCTGCGACGGGAACAACAACAAGAACAAGAAGAGCAGCTTTTTGCGATAAAGGATGTCCTTCTCTCATCAACAATCTTCTCTCTCATTCCCAAGGAAGCCCGGACAAACCGAAGGCGTTCCCGCGATCAACTCTTCCTCCTCATTTTCCTTCCATCACGAATCCAACTCCAACCCATCGGAAGCACCGACACAGGATCTCGCCTCTTGGGTGAACCAAGTGCGTCAGCGCAACTCATCTTCAGCCTCTTCTCGTCTGTCACAAGGTGCTTCCCAGTCGAACGACGTCGTCGGCTCTTCCGCATCCGGGCTAGAACTTGAATTTCAAAGGCAAAGACTGGAGCGACAGCAGCGCAGGAATCGTCTCTCAGTCTCTGGCATCCGCGGCATCTCAGCCCGATCCAACCCGACCTCGCCTCTCGCGACTCCATCACTGGAAAGCCCTCCCATCAGAGGATTCGAGAACAGCTCCAACTACTCTGCAATGGCGCCACCTGACGCTTCACAATCGACTTCGGCTTCGCCGTTGCTCGGCTCCTCTCCGACCAAAGCATCCGGAGTGACAGGCATCAAGAGAGCCAACTCCTTGCTCGCTCGCTATGGAGGACAGTACGGCCCAACCGGTGTAGCAGCTGGTCCCAAAGGACCAGGCGACTCGCCCGTCTCGCTCGCCAACTTCATGGGCGGTAGGTCAGCAGGTCCGCGTCTTGGGAAGCTGGCAGGCGATGGTAAGAGCGCACCTCCTGAGGCAGCCATGATTCACGAGAGCCGCAGAGTGCCGATGCCCGGACTGGTGCCGAACTCTGGACGATCTCTCGCCAGCTTCCTCGAGGAGCGAGCCGACGTTTCTGGCAATCGTCGAAATGTAGCCGGCTCACCCGCTTCATCTGTCACCTCTCCTGGCAAAGCAAGCAGCCCAGTCAAATACTCTTTCTCATCCGCCGAGCTTGGTCGACCATCAAGAACATCAACGGATCCATTTTCTAGCACTGCTAGTCCTGCCCCTGGTGCAGCTTCAGCACCTTTGTCTTCGTCACCTAAGAAGGCTTACCTGGACTTGATCGAGAAGCAGAACGCAAATCAGGTTAGCGCGCCTCCATCACCTGCCATCCCTCGCGCTTCGAGCCCATCCAAGTTCCACAGATTTACTGCTGGCGAGAGCGGCACATCCTCTCCCGGGCTCGAACGACCCGCTTCTCCAGTCAAGCGTGGCTCGGGGGCATCTTTCCCTCTTGACGAACCCATCAACAGCTCGACACAGAACAGCGCTCGCAACGACGACTTCTTGAGAGCCTCCCGTCCTCTTCCCATTCCAAACGCACAGTCTCACTCGTACTCTTCTTCACATTCTTCTGAACGCAAGGATGCCGCCACAAGCCCACTCAAGCCAGAAGATCTCCCGGCTCCATCCGGCATATCTGCCGTGCAAGGACAGTTAAAGTCAGACAGCGGTCTTGGACGAGGCTGGAGCCGTCCCACGGAACAGGTCGATGCACCAGCACCACCATCTCAGGCTTCGAGCCGCTTGGCCAGTCTAGCCGCGAGCGAGATCTCCAACGCTGATCGCCTTCCGACTGCATCGCTCTCCCGACTCAGTGCGAAGAAGATGGTTGGCCAGCGGATCAAGGAAGCCCAGATGCGCAATGTGACTGCACAGAAGGAGGTTGAGCCGATGCAGGTCGGGCCAACCGGACGCAGTGTTCCATCCAGTCCCGCCGTTCGCGACAGATGGCCTCCTGCTCTTCAAACCAACGTCGCTCCCGTTCGTTCCAGCGCCGAAGATCGCAAAACTGGTTCACCTTGGTCTCCCACCAAATATGGTAATGCACTCCCTGGTCTCGCTGCTCGCTCGCCCATCAAGGAGACGGGTGCATGGCCCTGGCAGCCGTCTTCGCCAAAGAAGACCGAGATTGTGGCCGAGCCACGCGCCGAGCCTGTTCGTCTCCCTGGCATGGGTGCTAGCGTCAGTCCTTTCGCTCGGGCTGCTGAAGCCAGGAGTTGCACAGAGGAAGCTCTCGTGCTGCCCGAATCCAACACCAGTGCTGCCAACAACGACCAGGTTCTAGCTCCTCTCACTAAAGCACGAGCCAAAGGTCCAGTCAGAAAGGCCGCGACTGCTGTTGCCAAGCTGCCAGCTTTTTCGGCTACTAGGCCAGCTGCAGAGACCGCCTCTGCTGTCGAATCTCTTGCTGCGACTGCCAAAGAACAGGACGTGAAGCTGACTCCAGCAAAGCCGCCTCGCAGAACGACGGGCAAGCGTATCCATGTCCTTGTGTCCGGATCTGGCTCCAATTTGCAATCTCTGATCGATGCCACTCTTCTCAAACCTTCTCCCGGCATCCCTGTGATTAACGACGCGCAGGTCTCTTTCGTTCTCTCCAATCGCAAGGCTGCTTACGGCCTCACCAGAGCTGCTGAGTCCAACCCACCGATCCCAACCAAGGTGCTTGCACTCAAGACATGGCAGAATCGCAACCCGGGCGGAACCCGAGAGCAGTACGACCAGGTTCTTGCTCGCGCTGTGCTGGACGGTCCCAGCCCAGAAGGCACAGGCAATCCTCCTGACCTCATTGTCCTAGCTGGATTCATGCACATCGTGTCGGAACCCTTCCTTCACGCTCTTGGTCACAAGACCAACTTGCCTACCAACACGCCTACGCTTGGACCGCGACCATCGAAAGCGGTGCCGATCATCAACCTGCACCCTGCACTTCCTGGTGCTTTTGACGGTGCGAATGCCATGCTTCGGGCCTTCGAAGCCTACAAACAGGGTAAGATCGATAAGACCGGGTGCATGGTTCACGAAGTGGTCGCCGACGTCGATCGAGGCCGTCCCATCATTGTTCGAGAGCTTCCGATTCTTCCCTCTTATGACTTGGAGCAGATGGAGCAGGAGATTCACAAGATTGAGCACGTCATCATCGTGCAGGCAGCAGACCTGGTGCTCAAAGGTCACCTGGAAGAGCTGGATCGTCAAGAGGCTGAGAAGCAGAAGTCGGCGCCGGTACCCTCGTCCTCGAACAAAGTCTCCTCTTCGTTGGAGACGGTCCAGATCAAGTCTCGGAGCGCAGACGGCGATGTGATCGCCACTGCTTCTTCGGTCGTGCGCTCTGCACGCTCATCATTGGCCAAATATGCAAGCGTCTCTGATATCACATCAACCGAGACCACTTTCGGCAAGACAGTGTCTGTCGAGGCTCTTGCCATTGGTGCTGACGGCTTCGTAGAGCCATTGGAGTTTTCGGGAGACCAGACCTTCCAACGCGGCGAGCAGCTTCGACGCGAGCAGATCTTGTATGACGATGAGACGCTTGCTATTGTCAAACGTTACAAGTCTGACGCTAGCCTCATGGAGACCAAGCTGTGGATTCGAACTGGTCAACGCGCGGCTCTGCACCCATTCGAGCTCGGTCCTCTTTTCACGTCTTGCGCTGAGGGTCGAAAGGTTGCTGAACTGGCGCAGCGATATTCGGTCAAGCCAATTGTGGTCCCTGCGGGATGCGAGTCGGGCGACTTGATTGCATCCCTGTCAGGAACTTGGACTGTAAGCCGCCAAGGCTTGCGCAAATGTTTCGATGCAGCAGCTACCTCGCTGTACCGTGTTCGACGTGCTGTTGGCTCTACACGGGACTCGGAGGAGCGTTTTGCCATTCAGCAGGTTGACCTTCGAACCGCCAACCTCTGCTCGGGCGACAGCTTTGTTTTCTCTGTGCTCTCCACCCTCGGTGTCTGGCACGGACGCGGCTCTTCTGAGTCTGTTCGCGCTGCTGCTGTGCGATTCGCTCAGGCTCTCGCCAAGGCGACCTCAAGCGGTGTTCGATCCACTCAAGACGTCGCCGAGGTCGAGGAAGGAAGCGAAGACAATCCTTTCTGGAACGTCTTTGACAAGACAGAAACGTATGCAAGCGCCTGGTCGCATCGCCACATGGAGCTGACGCGGTCAGACGACTCGAGTCTGCTCGACATCGAGCTCGATGGGCGAGAGCTTCGCCTGACACCCTTCAGCACGAGAGGCTACTTTGGAGCAGACGACCTCCTGCTTCCCACACGATCGAACACCATCTCGATCCTCAACCTTCGAGATCGGGAACTCTACGTCGTCGTCGGAAAAGACGCTCGTGGTGATCGTGTGAGGCTCGCAGCTGCTATCCACGCAGCCGATGAACTTGCTGCACAACTGCAAACTCGATTGCGTTCGGCTGCTGCCTCGGTAGCGACCATCATTCCACGTCCTGCCGTCCACGTGCTTATCCTTCCATCGAAGCTTCCAAGCGAAGTACGAGCAGCCTCGCGAGTGTGGTCGGATGACATCGTCGGTATGCTGCAAGGTGAATCAGCCTCGCGAATGAACGTTCACTCGAGCACCAGTGCTTTGGAGCAGCTGAGCAAGCTGAGCTGGCCTCGCTGGACGCTGTTGGACTTGGACTATTTGCCGGTCGGAGTGTCGTCGGCGGATGCAAAGGAGGCGCTTGCATGAGGGGTAATTTCAAATTCTCGTATCTATGATGTACTACGATCAAAAGGTCACCGGTTTGCGAATGTACGTATTTCATGATGCACTGTACGACGAAGTTTTATCTTGTTGACCTCGGTAGGATGGGGCACAACGAGGCACTGGCAAAATCAGATGCATGGTGTTCCGGGCAAGCTTCGGGGAGACATGGCGCCTGTGAGCTTTGTGAATCTGATATGAGATCTGCTTCCCGATCAGCTTCGAAACACGATTTTTTGATGCGTTCAGTCAGGCCGTCGCGGAAAAGCAAGATTGCAGTCCAGAGACCTGTTGAGCTGTAGGCTTCGGCAGAGCGTGGCAAAGCAAACAAGTGATGCAGATGTGAAGTGTATGCATGTCGGTGATTGGCTCCACGTGGCGCCAACGTCCTGGTGACGGACTCCGACGAGGCAAAAACAGTAGCACGAAAGGCAGCTCAATCAGTGTTGCTAGGCTCGCAACTCGTTTAACTCTCTAGCACTTGGAGCAGACTAGTGGTGCAGATCTGAGCATGTTTTTGTGTATATACAAGTGTCTTTTGATTGCTGCAACCCATACTGTGCAAATCATGCATTGATGCCATATACATCTATCTGCTTGGAAGTCTGTCCATTGGGAAGGGTGAAGACAGAGAGGCAGTCATGCAAGGAAGGGGAGCCACTCAAGCAAAATTTCCGCACCTTTGTTGCATGTACATAGTTCCTGTGCAATATGCTGTGTTGTTCTGTGTTGTTCTGTGTTGTTCTGTGTTGTTCTGTGTTGTTCTGTGTTGTTCTGTGTTGTTCTGTATTCTTGTCTCTTGTGTGACATCAGTGGGCTGTATGATGCAAGTGAAAGGTATCGTCTTCCTATCATTGAACCAAAGGGGGTATCAAAGTTTTTCCGTTTTTAAAAACGCGGGTTTTTTGAAGAGCGCATTTTTCAAAAAACCGCAAAAGCTTACATAAGCTGCGCAAAGGGAAAAAAAACCGCATTTTTAAAAACGCAGGTCAGGAGACAGTATTGTGAAAACATGGAAGGGTTATCTCTCCACATCTTCTCTCCTCTCCTCACTCTTGTCACTCTTTTGCTCACTCCCTCTTCCTTGCACTCTTTCAACATGACCTCCTCCACTGATGATTCTCGTGACATCTCTGCAGAGTTGTTATGCCAGTCCACTACACCTAAAATCTCCACAACTCAGATTGAAAGTGTGCCTGCACTGTCTCAATCTGGTTCTACAAGTGCTTCTGACATCTGTGTCATGGGCCTGGATGCTCAAGAAGCAGGAGGGTCACGGGTTCATATGGAAGGAGCACAGGTATCGAAGATCTAGTTGATACCAGTAGAGAGCATGGTCGTAGTGCAGTCTCCATGGAGACCATGGACTCCTACAGACTCACATGCAAAGGAGGGCCAAGCACAGCCACGAGGAGGACCAAGCTCAAGGAGCAGGCACAGCCACGAAGAGGACCAAGCTCAAGGAGCATGCAGATGGTTACCACTCAGGGGCTCGAGAGACAAGAGCCAAAGGAACTGTCACTGATCAAAGGAGAAGGAGCAGTGTCGAAGGAGTCGACACAGCTCAAGAGGCACAGGGGTGCCAAGCAGGAGAGGCCCCTGAACAGCACTCGATGAAGAAGGTACTCTCTGGAGAGAGAGCAGGAGCAGCATCGCTGGCGATGCTGTGAAGAGGTATATAACCATGCTTTCTCATCATCATAGGTCGAGTGGATCCTCATCCACTCTACTCACCATAACTAGTTATCACTTCAGCATAAGTATATATTAGTTTCAGTCAGCATAGCAGCAATCTATCAAGGTTGCTCCTCATCATAGTGTGTGTGTTGTATCACCACTACCTGATGTCCGAAGGTGCCCATAGCAGGTTAGCAGTCCGGATCAAGATAGAACCAAAGGCAGTAGTCCACTGCGGTCTGGGGATCACTTCAAGCATCAAGTCAACACACTGGACACTTGTGTTGACACCACCAACCTTATCACCAACACCATCAACCTCATTATCATCAACACCCACCAACCTTATCACCAACGTCATCAACCTCATCATCATCAACACTCACACCAGACCTTGGTGTCATCATAGCATTAATATTGATCATGCTGAGCTACCCCTGAACAGAGTGTCCACAGAGGTCAGCTGAAACCTATGATAGTATATACAACAAACGCTACCTGCTGTCACTGCGCAACTTGATAGTCACTGATACCGAGACAATAGCTGTCACACAGTTTGATAGTCACCGAGTATCTCAACAGACCGACCTGGGTTTCAGGCACAAGACCCCTGACATTAGAGTGGATCGTTCAAGCAGCTCCTCATGATCACCATGATGGACCCAGACCTCAACAATAAGCTTGATAGACTACTCACTCTATTGGAAGCACAGCTAGAGCTTACCAGACAGGGTCATTGAGAGGAATGTTTACAACGAGCTCAACTGAGCAGGGAGGAGACAATGGACCTCTCTCACTCAGAAGACCAAGCAGGAGGAGGAGATGAGTCTATGATAGGAGACCCACATACTCCTACTCCAGCTCCATGACCAAGACAATCAGTCTCATTCAACCTGGATGAGCAGGAGGACATCAACTACAAGAAGTATGCTTCACCTACTGGGCCAAGATATGTCAAGACTAAGCTGGACCCCTACAGCAGGACCAGGACAGACCCTTACCCCCTGGACCAAGAGGAGGACTCTAGCATCATGGCAGAGCTTAACTGGTCAAAGCCCATCACCACCCCCTTTCCAAAGTTCAATCCCTGAGACATGGAGATCTTCATTCTAGAAGCTGAAGCATGGTTTAAGTTCAACCAGGTGTATGAGCAGACTAGGATGATCAACCACATGGGTGCTCAACTAGAAGGGACAGCAAGAGAGTGGTGGACCTCCAAGCTCCATATTGATAGAGCTAGAGAAGGAAGGTTGTTCAATGATTGGCACTACTTCACAGAGTGACTGTCAGAGCAGTTCAACCCATGCAATGCTTGGATGGAGGCCTACAACAAGCTGTTGGCTCTCAGGCTCACAAGTGATGCTCCTGGTGCTGCCACACATCATGTAGAGCAGTTCAGAGACTTGGAGGGACAGGTCAACCTAGATGACAACAAGCTAGTGATTGATCTCTTCAGAGGTAGTCTCACTTGTAGCATACAGGAGAAGTTCGAGAGGAATCCACCTGGAAAGAGATGGGAGTGGTACCGAGAGGTTGAGGAGATCGATTGACAGAGGATGCTACTACAGCAGTCCTCAGCTAGACACTCACTCCCAAATGCCATGTCACCTCCACTAAGAACTGGGTCTTGGCCAAATCAAAGTTTGATCCCCATCCATCAACCCACTCAACCTTATCCAGCTCGATCACCAGCACAAGCAACTACACAAGCAACTATACAAAACCTAAACCAACCAACTAACTGACCCCTTCCTCATCATCCCACCCAAACCTCGAAGCAAGGAAGCCCTGCTCCATCAGGTATCAACACCTGTCATGTATGCAAGGGTATCGGCCATTGGGCCAGAGACTGTCCCAGCAGGAGGGTAGACCCTCTTAGCTCTCGACCCATGGGACCAAAGGTTATGGTCACCACAGCAGACCCCTTCGAGGAGGCCACCGACTCAGGAGATGGCCACACAGGCAGAACTGAGACGGGTGACCCCGAGGCCATGGACCTCAGCTCATACCAGCAACCCATGGACCCCGATCATGAGGAGGAGCACGATGATGACGACAATGAGGGAAATGTCAGTGGGGTGATGCACTGATGGCATGCATTGCTCTACAAACCTCCTCGCCATCACTCTGTATATATCAAGATTGTCAAGTATGTTTCTCTACCAGTGGAGGCAAAGCAGTACTGGAGCTCTCTGGAATGGTTCAAGACCATCCTGCTTGGATACTAGCTGATACCGGTGCTGGTTTGTCCATAGTCTCAGATTCTTTCATTAGTAAGTACCAAATACCCACAAAACCCATAAAAACAAGATCGATCCATGGTGTCACTGGGCACCAACTCTCCATCAATAGTTCTGCGAGCATGCAGGTATCTATTGGTTCACACAATCTGGGTGTGGTCAAAGCTTCAGTGGCCGACACTGCTGACTATGACCTCATCCTGGGGTTCACTGAGCTACAGAGGCTCAAACCCACCATACAATGGGATACAGGCCAGCTGGAGTTCAAGACTCAGGAGCAGGACCGACCCCCAAGGAGACCCCCTGAAGCAGCAAGAGCAGGGGACCTAACCATGAGGAGACCAACCCTTCATGGTAACGAGTTTGTCTCAGCAGAGCACATACTACGAGCAGCTCTGGAAGATGGACCCATAGGGTTCATGCTGTTGGAGGAGCCACCATCATCACTACTGGCCTTTGGTTTTGTACCTACAGGCGCAGACAAAGGAGTCGAGATGGAGGTGGAGGTAGACAAGGTGGTGATGGCAGCAGACATACCAAAGCCATACCAACACCTGCGAGATGTGTTTGATGGGGTGGAAGCAGACAAGCTGCCCCATCATACTGAGCATGATCTCCACCTCGAGTTGATAGAAGGAGGTAAACCACCTCAAGGGCCCCTATACCTTAAGGGACCCAAGGAGATGTCCGAGTTGAGGAGGTACTTGGATGAGAACCTCAAGAAGGGGTTCATAAGACCATCGAAGAGCCTGGCATGATCACCAGTGCTCTTCGTACCAAAGAAGGATGGAGGTCTCAGACTCTGTGTGGACTACAGAGGTCTCAACAAGATCACTGTCAAGAACAGGGCACCATTGCCCCTCATTGAGGAGCAGCTGTTCTTACTCAGGAAGGCAAGGATCTATACCAAGCTGGACCTTAGAGCAGCATACAACCTCATCTGGATTGCTAAAGGAGATGAATGGAAGACAGCTTTTGGCACTCAGTTGGGACTCTATGAGTACCTAGTGATGCCCTTTGGCCTAGCCAATGCTCCAGCTCACTTCCATTCGTTCATCAATGACATCTTCTGAGACATCATTGGAGTATATGTAGTGGTATACCTAGATGACTTCCTGATCTTCAGTGACACTGAGGAGGTACATGTGAAGCATGTCACCAAGGTCCTCAACTTGCTTAAGGAGCAACAGGCTCTTTGCTAAGCTGTCGAAGTGTGAGTTCCACACCAAGACAGTCGAGTTCCTGGGGTACATCATCAAGCCAATGGGCATAGAGATGGACCCAGAAAAGGTGCACACTGTCAAGGAGTGGCCAATGCCAGAGTCAATCCATGACATCCAAAGGTTCCTGGGTTTTGCCAACTTCTATCGAAGGTTCATAGCCCACTTTGCTTGCATAGCCAAGCCCTTGACATCACTGGTAAAGCCTATAGAACAGTTCAAGAAGTTCGAGCTACCAGAGGAGGCCCAACAGGCCTTCCACAAGCTCATCCAGGCATTCACATCAGCAGGAGTGCTTCAGCACTTCGACTACCACCTTCCAACAAGGTTGGAGACCAATGCAAGTGACTTTGCTATAGCAGGAGTACTCAAGCAGGAGCATGAAGGATGATGGCATCCAGTGGCCTTCTACTCTAGGAAGATGTCTTCTGCCGAGAAGAACTATGAAATCCATGACAAGGAGCTCCTAGCTGTGGTCGCCTGCCTTACTCAGTGGCGACACATGCTAGCTGGACTACTGAGCCAACTGGTCATCCTCACTGACCATGAAGCCCTCAAGTACTTCAAGTCACAGAGATGCATCACAGGTCAACAGGCTCAATGGGCCATACTACTAGCAGACTTCGACTTCATATTGCAGTATCGACCAGGAGACAAAGGTGGTGAACCCGATGCTCTCACCAGAAGGACAGACATGCAACCAGCTGGTGAAGAGCAGGATCACAATGTGAGGCAACTACTGCCTCCTCGAGTGTTCAGGGAGACAGCAGACCATGACTCGACCCTAGTGGCCCCTATGATCTCGATGGAGTCCATAGCATCAAAAGGTCTCAGAGACCTGGTCAAGATCTTCCAGCCCTTAGACCAAGAGCTACAGGAGATACATAGGAAGAAGCCCTTCGAGGTCAAGGATGACCTATGGTACAGTGGAGGAAGGTTGGTTATCCCCAAAGTGATCATGCCAGGGAGGACCAACAACCGACACTCAAGGAGTGCCAAAGAGGTAGATGGACAGTCTCTCTCTGTAGAGCATCTGCAATTCATGGTGATGACCCAATGCCATGATGGTATTACTGCTGGACATGTAGGAAGAGATGCTACCATCAAGGCAGCTCAATGACATTACTGGTGGCCAAACATGACAGCTTGGATTGCAGACTATGTAGCAAGTTGTCCTGTATGTGCTAGGTACAAAGCTCCTCGTCACTGTCCATATGGTTTGCTACAGCCACTAGCAACACCAGACAGGCCCTGGGGCTCCATATCCCTCAACTTCATCAAAGGACTACCACCATCAAAGAAGTATGACTCCAAGACCTATGACTCTATCTTAGTCATTGTTGACAGGTTAACCAAGTTTGCCATACTAGCTCCAACCCATAAGACAGTCACAGCCAAACAGACTGCAGTGTTGCTATATGGACACATGGTTAGACTCTTCGGATACCTAGATCACATGGTCTCAGACTGAGGCAGGCAGTTCATATCAGGAGCATGGAAGGCATTTGCAGAGCAAATGGGTGTGAAGCACTCACTTAGCATGGCTTACCATCCTCAAACCGATGGTCAGACAGAGAGGGTCAATCAGGTCATAGAGCAATACCTCAGGATGTACTGCAACTATGAGCAGGATGACTGGGCCAACCTGCTGGACACTGCAGCCTTTGTATACAACAACATGGTCCACAACAGCATTGGTGTCTCACCATTCTTTGCATGCTATGGATGGAACCCCAAAGCTCATCCTGACATCCCTCAACAACTAGGAGTCAATGATCCCGGTTGCTTCGAGTACCTCATGGATGGAAAGGAGCATTGCAAGTACCTCCAGGAGCAGATCAGAGAGGCACAATGTAGATCAGTAGACCAGTATAACAGGAAGCACAAGGACATCGAGTTTAAGGTGGGTGATATGGTCTATATCAACCGTCGAAACTGGAAGACATGGAGACCCACACCCAAGTTAGATACCTGGTTTGCAGGACCCTACCCAGTTCAGGAACGGGTAGGATGCCGAGCTTATCAAATCACATTGCCAGCAAACCTTAGGGTGCATGATGTGTTCCATGTCTCCATGCTCGAACCAGCAAGAACAAGTTCTCTTCCTCAACGTGCTGAACAGCCCACCATACCATCACTTCCAGATGAGGACCTTGACTTCGAAGTCAAAGCACTCATTGACAAGCGTTCACACAATGGGACTACAGAGTACAAGGTGTTGTGGAGAGGGTACTCAGAAGAAGCTGCTTCATGGGAACCAGTAGAGAACCTCAACTGTCCCGACCTCATCCAGGAGTATGAGGTGTCGGAGGGGGGACGAGTGAGTAGACAAAGTAGAGAAAGGAAGAGAGAACAGGAGGAGTAGAGAGAGGAAGAGAGAACAGGAGGAGTAGAGAGAGGAAGAGGAAGGAGGATGATGTTGAGAGAAGGAGGAAGGATGATGTTGACGATGTTGTCGAGGAGGAGGAGGAGGAGGAGTCAGCATGAACCAGACCAGAGCATGCCTCGACAGAGCTCGGCTCTTAAGAGGGGGGTAGTGTCATGGGCCTGGATGCTCAAGAAGCAGGAGGGTCATGGGTTCATATGGAAGGAGCACAGGTATCGAAGATCTAGTCGATACCAGTAGAGAGCATGGTCGTAGTGCAGTCTCCATGGAGACCATGGACTTCTATGGACTCACATGCAAAGGAGGACCGAGCCATATGCAAGGAGGGCCAGGCACAGCCATGAGGAGGACCAAGCTCAAGGAGCAGGCACAGCCACGAAGAGGACCAAGCTCAAGGAGCATGCAGATGGTTACCACTCAGGGGCTCGAGAGACAAGAGCCAAAGGAACTGTCACTGATCAAAGGAGAAGGAGCAGTGTTGAAGGAGTCGACACCAGGTCATGAGGAGGAGGAGCAGTGTCGAAGGAGTCAACACAGCTCAAGAGGCACAGGGGTGCCAAGCAGGAGAGGCCCCTGAACAGCACTCGATGAAGAAGGTACTCTCTGGAGAGAGAGCAGGAGCAGCATCGCTGGCGATGCTGTGAAGAGGTATATAACCATGCTTTCTCATCATCATAGGTCGAGTGGATCCTCATCCACTCTACTCACCATAACTAGTTATCACTTCAGCATAAGTATATATTAGTTTCAGTCAGCATAGCAGCAATCTATCAAGGTTGCTCCTCATCATAGTGTGTGTGTTGTATCACCACTACCTGATGTCCGAAGGTGCCCATAGCAGGTTAGCAGTCCGGATCAAGATAGAACCAAAGGCAGTAGTCCACTGTGGTCTGGGAATCACTTCAAGCATCAAGTCAACACACTGGACACTTGTGTTGACACCACCAACCTTATCACCAACACCATCAACCTCATTATCATCAACACCCACCAACCTTATCACCAACGTCATCAACCTCATCATCATCAACACTCACACCAGACCTTGGTGTCATCATAGCATTGATATTGATCGTGCCAAGCTACCCCTGAATGGAGTGTCCACAGAGGTCAGCCGAAACCTATGATAGTATATACAATGAACACCACCTGCTGTCACTGCACAACTTGATAGTCACCGATACTGAGACAATAGCTGTCGCACAGTTTGATAGTCACCGAGTATCTCGACAGACTGACCTGGGTTTCAGGCGCGAGACCCCTGACAATCTGCACTTCCTGTCCAACTCAAGCCTCTAGATCTGCCACAGGCAAGAAGAACTTCACATGGTCAGGTGCCAATGTTCTTCACCTCATCACAATCCTCTACAACAGCAAGTCCTACCAGCATGCTCTGCTGCCATCTCGAGAATCAGCTGAGAGCGATCTGTTGTCATGGGACGGGATGCACAGGAATCAGGAAGATCCTTCAAGTCATATGAAGGGAGCACAGGAATCGAGGAAATGGGCAGATCATAGGACTTGCAATAGAGTCCACCAAAATCTGTAGGAGAAGCAGCTCTAAGGCAGATCTCATCTAGATCAGTACAAGCAATAAGGGTATCATGAATCACACTGGAATCTGCAATAAACTGGATCATACAACATGTCCTGCAGAGATCAATGGCAAAGGTGTTTGTATGATAAAAGGCTAGAAGGGGAGTGTCATGGGCCTGAATGCGCAAGAAGCAGGAAGACCCATTAGTTCATATGAAGGGAGCACAGGAATCAGGGGATCGGGCAGATTGTAGGAGTTGCAGCAGAATTTGCCGAGATCTGCAGTAGAATTGGCTCTATGACAGATCTCAGTGCAATTGGTATGAGCAAGGATGATACCACAGATCCTGCCAAGATCAGTAGTAAGCATGATCATATGGCAGATTCCATGGAGACCAGTGATAAGGATGGTCATATGACAATTCACATGCAAGGAGGACCAAGCTCACATGTGAGGAGGATCAAGCTCTGCCAAGATGGGGACCAAGCTCAGGAACATGCAGCTGGTTACCACTCAGGGGGCTCACAAGATAAAGGTCAGGAGAACCATCGCCAGTTGAAGGAAGAGGAGCTATGTAACAGACACCGGCAAGCAGGTCATAAGGAGGAGGAGCAGTGTCGAAGGAGTCGACACAGCTCAAGAAGGACAGGAGCGACAGCAAGCAGGGCTCAATGAGGAGGAGGCGTCTCATCAGAGACCCCTGTACAGTACTCGGCAAAAAGGGTACTCTCTGGAGAGAGAGCCAGAGCAGTGTCGCTGGCGATGCTGCGAAGAGGTATATAACCATACCTTCTCATCACAAGTGGTCGAGTGGATCCTCATCCACTCTACACACCATAACTAGTATTACTTCAGAAGCATAAGTACTCATTAGTTCAGTCAGCATAGTAGTAATTGATAGATTGCTCCTCCTTGTAGCACATGTGTTGTATCACTGCTCACTGATGTCCAAAGGCAGTTCATAGCAAACCAGTGGTCTGGATAAAGATAGAACTGAAGGCAGTAGTCCACTGTGGTCCGGGGATCACCTCAAGTGATAGTCAACACACTGGACACTTGTGTCGATGCCACCAACCTCATCATCAACAAGATACTCACACCAGACCTTGGTGTCAACACAAGATCACCACCAACATATTGATATTGATTGTGCCAAGCTACCTCTGGATGGAGTGTCCACAGCAGTTAGTCAAAACCTGTAATAGCAATACTACAACTACAGATTCGAGCAGGAAAAGTGATAGAGATGGCTCTATCACATGTTTCACCAAGAATCAAAATACCACTAGTGTTGTTGCATAACTTGACAGAATCGGTAATAGTATCAACACTACTACTGAACTCAGGTTTCAGGTGTGCAACTGCTGACATTAGAGTGGATCGTTCAAGCAGCACCCCATGATCAGCATGATGGACCAAAGCCTCAACAATAAGCTCGAGAGGCTACTCACCCTAATGGAAGCTCAGCTTGAGCTTACCAGGCAGGGTCAATGAGAGGAATGACTTCATTGTGCTCACCTGAGTGGAGAGGAGACAATTGAGCTCTCACACTCAGAAGATCAAGCAGGAGGAGACAAATCCATGATGGGAGATCCACAAACTCCTATGCCAGTTTAGCAACCAAGATGATTGGTCTCATTCATGGACTGGGACAAGCAGACCAATGTCAACTACAAGAAGTATGCTTCACCCACCAGGCCAAGATACGTCAAGCCCAGGGTGGACCCATATGGCAGGCCCAGGATGGATCTTTATGGCCTGGACCAGGAAGAGGATGCTAGCATAATGGGAGAACTCTCTCAATCAAAGCCCATAGCTACACCATTCCCTAAGTTCAACCCCAGGGATGTTGAGATCTTCATCCTTGAAGCCAAAGCATGGTTCAAGTTTAACCAGGTTTATGAGCAGTCAAGGATGATCAACCATATGGGTGCTCAATTAGAAGGGAATGCACATGAATGGTGGATATTGAAGCTTTGCATCAATAGAGCTCAAGAAGGAAGACTATTCAATGATTGGCACTACTTCACAGAGTGTCTCTCAGAGCAGTTCAATCCTTGCAATGCTAGAATGGAGGCCTACAACAAGTTGTTGGCTCTTTGACTCATGAGTGATGCACCTGGTGCTGCCACTCATCACATTGAACAATTCAGGGACCTGGAAGGACAGGTTAACCTAGATGACAATGAATTGGTCATAGACTTGTTCAGAGGCAGTCTCATATGAAGCCTACAGGAGAAGTTTGAGCAGAACCCACCTGTGAAGAGGTGGGAATGGTATCAGGAGGTCGAGGAGATCGATTGGCAAAGGATGCTGCTACAGCAGTCCTCTGCCTGGCACCCAAGTGCCGCTCCATCGTAACCAAACCCCGGAGCCCAACCTACACCACCAGCTCAAGGTTCATTCCCCACTTGACAACCAGCACAAACAACAGCAGGAAACCTGAGTAGACCAACCAATCAGCTGCTGCCCCATCAGCTCGTTCTGGGCCTGAAACAAGGAAGCCCTACAACATCAGGTAACAACACTTGTCATGTGTGCAAAGGCATTGGACATTGGGCCAGAGACTGCCCAAGCAAGAAGGCAGACCCTCTGGGCCCACAACCCTTAGGTCCAAGAGTCATGGTGACCATGGAAGACCCCTTCGAAGAGGGGGCCACTGACTCAGGAGATGGGCATACAGGTAGCATAGAAATGGGCAAACCTGATGACCTGGACTTCAGTCAATATCAATCCCCCATGGACACTGATCATGAGGAACCCCAAGATGATGTCAATGAGGGAAATGACAGTGGGGCAATGCACTGATGGCATGCATGGCCCTACAAACCTCCTCACCATCCCTGTGTATATATCAAGATTGTCAAGTATGCTTCTCTACCAGCAGAGGAAAAGCAGTATTAGAGCTCTCCAGGATGGTCCAAGACCACCCAGCTCATATACTCACCAACACCAGTGCTGGTTTGTCTATAGTTTCAGATTCTTTCATCAGTAAGTACTAAATACCCACAAAACCCACAAAAATAAGATCGATACATGGTGTCACCAGACACCAGCTCATCATCAACAGCACTGCAAGCATACAAGTTGCTATTGGTGAACACAGTCTAGGAGAAGTCAAAGTATTGGTAGCCAATACTGCTGACTACAACCTTATCCTGGGATTCACTGAGCTAAGGAGGCTCAAACCGACCATACAATGGGATATGGGCCAACTAGAGTTCAAGGCCCAAGTACAGGAGCGACCCCTGAGGTGGCCCCCTGAAGCAGCTGTAACTGGGGGTTTACACACAAATTTGGCGAAATCTGTCATAGGAAGCATGCTATTACCGAATTCAGCAAAAAAGGCTGTAACTAGCGAACTAAAACAAGAGCCTGCCATAAGAGACAGCCTATCGCCACGTCCGACCATACATGGGAATGAGTTCGTTTTGGCAGCAAGCCTGATACAGGCAGCTCTCGAAGACAGACCCATTGGGGTCATGCTCTTGGACCTCCCACCATTGTCACTCCTGGCTTTTGGGTTTGTACCCACCAGCACTGACAAGGGTATAGAAATGGAAGTTGAAGTTGACAGGAAGGTATCGGCAGAGGATATACCTGAGCCATATCAACATCTGTGAGATGTGTTTGATGAGGTGGAAGCAGATAAGCTGCCTCACCATACTGAACATGATCTTCATCTTGAGTTGATGGGAGACAGTAAGCTGCCCCAGGGTCCACTGTACCTCAAGGGACCCAAGGAAATGGCCGAACTAAGGAAGTACCTGGATGAGAACCTCGCAAAGGGGTTCATCCACCCCTCAAAGAGCCTGGCAAGACCTCCAGTGCTCTTTGTACCCAAGAAGGATGGAGGCCTCAGGCTATGCATGGACTACTGCAGTTTGAATGAGATCACCCCTCAAGAACTGGGCACCATTGCCCCTCATCGAGGAGCAGCTATTCCTGCTTCAAAAGGCAAAGATCTATACTAAGCTAGATCTGTGAGCAGCTTACAACCTCATCCATATCGCAAAAGGAGATGAATGGAAGACTGCATTCAGCACACAGTTGGGACTCTATGAGTACCTGGTGATGCCCTTTGGCCTGGTGAATGCACCAGCCCACTTCCAATCATTCATCCATCACATCTTCTGAGACATCATCAGAGTGTATGTGGTTGTGTATTTGGATGACTTCCTCATCTTCAGTAACACAGAGGAGGAACATGTACAGCATGTCATGGAAGTCCTCACCCAATTGAGGAGCAATCAACTGTTTGCCAAGCTGTCTAAGTGTGAGTTCCACATTACTACAGTCAAATTCTTGGGGTACATCATCAAGCCAACTGGGATTGAGATGGACCCAGAGAAGGTGCAAACAGTCAAAGAATGGCCAATGCCAGAGTTGATCCATGACATCCAACAGTTCCTCAGCTTCACCAACCTCTACTGGCGATTCATAGCTCACTTCGCTCATATTGCCAAGCTGTTAACATCATTGGTGAAGCCAATGGAATGCTTCAAGAAGTTTGAGTTGCCAGAAGAGGCCCAACAGGCTTTCCACAAGCTCATACAAGCATTCACCTTGGCAGGAGTGCTTTGACACTTCAACTACCACCTTCCAACAAGGTTGGAGACAGATGCAAGTGACTTTGCCATTGCTGGGGTGCTCAAGCAAGAGCACAAAGGACATTGGCACCCAGTAGTGTTCTATTCCTGAAAGATGTCATCGGCTGAGAAGAACTATGAGATCCACAATAAGGAGCTCCTAGCAGTGGTCACCTGTCTTACTCAATGGTGACACATGCTAGCAGGACTACTGAGTCAGTTAGTCATCCTCATGGACCACGAGGCACTCAAGTACTTCAAGTCACAGCATTGCATCATGGGGCAACAAGCTCGATGGGCAGTACTACTTGCAGATTTCGACTTCATATTACAGTATCATCCAGGAGACAAGGGAGGCGAACCCGATGCTCTCACCAGACAAGTTGATATGCAACCAGTCAGTGAGGAGCAGGAGCACAATGTATGGCAATTGCTGCCTCCCTGAGTGTTCAAAAAAGTCGAAAACAAAATCGCTATAGGAAGTGTGTTACAGCAAAATTCAGCAGAAAATGTAGTAGCAAGCATGATACTACCAATTTCAGTGGAATCAGTCCTAATAATGGGCTTAGATGACAATTCTGTATTAGCAGCTCCCATGCTCACTATGGAGTCCATAGCAATGAAAGGACTCAAGGACCTGACCAAGATCTTTCAGCCCTTGGATCTGGAGCTACAGTAGATTCATGTCAAGAAGCCATTTGAGATCAAAGATGGCTTATGGCATAGTGGCAGAAGGTTGGTTATACCAAAGGTAACCATGCCTGGAAGAACCAATGACTGATGGTCATGAAGTGCTCAGGAAGTGGATGGCCAATCCCTCTCTATCAAGCAATTACAATTCATGGTCATGGCTCAATGTCATGACAGCATAACAGCCAGTCATGTGGGTCAAGACACTACCATCAAAGCAGCCCAAAGGCACTATTGGTGGCCCAACATGACAGCTTGGATTGCTGATTATGTTGCAAGCTGCCCTGTATGTGCCAGATACAAAGCTCCTCATCATTGTCCATATGGCTTGCTGCAACCGCTCACCACACCAGACAGGCCATGGGGCTCAATATCATTGGACTTCATTGAGGACCTTCCATTATTGAAGGGTTTTAACTCCATCCTGGTCATTGTCAATAGACTGACCAAGTATGCTGTCTTGGCCCCAACTCATAAGACAGTCACAGTGACCCAAACTGCCATACTACTTTGGAGGTACATGATAAGGCACTTTGGTTATCCAGACCATATGGTCTCTGACTGAGGAAGACAGTTCATTTCAAGGGCATGGAAAGCATTTACTGAGGGCATAGGTGCTAAGCACTCCCTCAGCACAGCTTATCATCCACAGACCGATGGACAAACAGAGAGGGTCAATCAGGTGGTGGAGCAGTACCTGCAAATGTATTGCACTATGAGCAGGATGATTGGGCTGAGCTGCTCAAGACAGCAGTGTTTGTGTATAACAACACAGTCCACAACAGCATTGGAGTCTCACTGTTCTTTGCATGTTATGGATGGAACCCCAAAGCTCATCCTGACATACCTCAGCAGCTGGGAGTCAATGATCCAGATTGCTTTGAGTATCTTGTCAATGAAAAGGAGCATTGCAAGTATCTCCAAGACCAGATTAGGGATGCACAACATTGATCAGTGGAGCAGTACAACTGGAAACACAAAGACATTGAGTTCAAGGTTGGCAACATGGTTTACATCAATCACCAAAACTGGAAGACAAGGAAATCCACACCAAAACTTGACACCAGGTTTGCAGGACTGTACCCAGTTCAAGAGAGGGTGGGGTGATGAGCATATTGGATCACATTGCCAGCCAATCTCAGAGTTCACAATGTGTTTCATGTGTCAATGCTCAAACCAGCAAAAATGAGCTCACTCTCTCAACAGTCAGAACAGCCAAGCATACCATCCCTACCAGATGAGGACCTCAATTTTGAAGTTGAGGCACTCATTGACAAATGCTCACACAACAGGACAATGGAATATAAAGTCCTTTGGAGAGGGTACCCAGAGGAAGCTGCCTCTTGGGAACCAGTGTCGAACCTCAACTGCCCTGACCTCATCCAGGAGTATGAGGCATTGGCAGGGGGACGAGACTAGCAAGCACAAGGAAAAGGCAGAAGCGGTAAGAAAGGGGTTGGAACAGATTTGAGTGAAATCTGTGAGAGTAGCAGCGCTATTACAGATTTCGCGGAAATCAGTAGTTGAAGTAGTGGTATGACATTTTTTTACAGCAAGTATAGGGGAAGGCAGTCTTTCTCACTCACACGAGAAACCAAGAATGTAGTAACCAATGAGATGAGGTCAGGGGTGATCACACAAGGGTCAGGGCACAGGCTCAAGGTGATCATGGGAAACAATGGTTGAATTGCAGCTATGTCACTACATGTCGACATAGCCAGAAGGGACAGAAGGAGCAGCAAGAGTGGCACGAGTCCACTGCTCCTTGACTGTGGGCTCCACCCATGAGTCAATGGGGTCCAGAGGACCACCAGACTCTGCCACAGACTCATGAGGCTGGCACTCAGAGTATAACCTATCATGGTGCTCAACATAGACCTGGAGTGCCTGCAGAAGTGAACTTACCAGCTCTTGATGGCATAGGTGCCACACCACTCACATTGCAGTCACCCAGTCCTGGGTCATGACTGGGTCAATGATTCATTCCTGGGAACAAACAAGACCAGGCCCATCACCATTGGTCATGGTCAGGTGAGCTTGCTCAGCCTGATGTGAACCCTGTGGCTGCATATTGGGAGTCCCGTCTCCAGGGTACTCCATGCCCAGATAAGCTGGAATCATATGCTTGCAATGACCCAAGCCAGCTAGGTAGCAGTGGGTACAGGTGCAAGGAATCCTGTTGCATTCACCAAATGGGTTGGTGAAGGCTGAAGCAAAACAACTGAGAAAGTAAAAGAAGAGTCAGTATCAGGAAAGTTCAGGAGGAGTGTGAGGAAGATGTACTTATGGTGTACCCAGGTGGAAGCACTGGTGGCATTGCCAACTGGGCCAGGGCATGCAACCCTCAGTGAGGCACAGCATGACCAAGCAATGAAGGTGACACTTGGGCAGGGATCCAGCAGGCACATCCCAGTCCAATGGAAAGTACCTGTCAGTGATCTGAGCCATGAACTCAGCAACAAAGAACCTCTCAGACCATCTGGCGATTTCTCCATTTGTCAGAAGGTGTTGGTCAGGAGGAGGAAGGGGAGGAGTTCGATGCTCTACCCAGCGAGGAGGAGGGGTCAAAGGCTGGACCTCCAGCTGGTAGACAGGTGTGCCCAGACAATGGGCATCCAAGACAGAGTCGATGACCTCATCAGCTGTAGGAGGAGGAGTGGGAGAATGAGCCAGCTCTGCCTCCCACACTGCTTGACACTCTGGAGTTGACATTTCCAGTGTGGGACATCTGGCATCCACCTCATACAAGTCGATTGGGGGGGAAGCTGGAGAATAGTCACTCCCCATGGGTGCAGGAGGAGGGACCAGGAAAGGGGAAGGAGGGGGACTAGGGATGACCACATCATCATCCATCCCCAAGAAAAGCGGCTCCAACAACAAACGAGGAGCCACAGGGGAGGCCAGGGGATTAGCCACACAAGCTGACACTGGTGAGGCAGGAGGCTCGATTGCAGGAGCTGAGACCTCACGAGGACGAAGTCAGGCAACGATCCGACAACGTCTGGGAGGAGGGGGAGGAGCGTGTCATGGGCCTGAATGCTCAAGAAGCAGGAGGGTCACTGGTTCATATGGAAGGAGCACAGGTATCGGAGATCTAGTCGATACCAGTGGTGAGCATGGTCGTAGTGCAGTCTCCATGGAGACCATGGACTCCTACGGACTCACATGCAAAGGAGGACCGGGCCCATATGTGAGGAGGGCCAGGCACAGCCACAAGGAGGACTGAGCTCAAGGAAGCATACAGATGGTTACCACTCAGGGGCTTGAGAGATAGGAGTCAGAGGAGCTGTCACTGGTCAAAGGAGAAGGAGCAGTGTATAGGAAACCGGCAAGCAGGTCCTGAGGAGGAGGAGCAGTGTCGAAGGAGTCGACACCAGGTCCTGAGGAGGAGGAGCAGTGTTGAAGGAGTCGACACCACTCAGGAGGCACAGGGGTGCCAAGCAAGCAGGATAGCAAGGAGGAGGAGCAGTGTTGAAGGAGTTGACACAGCTCAAGAGGCACAGGGGTGCCAAGCAAGCAGGATAGCTCAAGGAGGACAGGAGTGGTGCTAGAGGGGCCCCCTGTACAGTACTCGATGAAGAAGGTACTCTCTGGAGAGAGAGCAGGGGCAGCGTTGCTGGCGATGCTGTGAAGAGGTATATAACCATACCTCCTCATCATCAAAGGTCAAGTGGATCCTCATCCACTCTACTCACCATATAACTAGTTATCACTTCCGCACAAGTATACATTAGTTCCAGTCAGCATAGCAGCAATCTATCAAGGTTGCCTCTCATTGTAGTGTGTGTGTTGTATCACCACTACCTGACATCCGAAGGCAGCCCATAGCAGGTCAGTGGTCCAGATATAGATAGAACCAAAGGCAGTAGTCCACTGTGGTCCGGGGATCACTTCAAGCATTAGTCAGCACACTGGACACTCGTGTTGATGCCACCAAATTACCACCAATGCCACCAGCTTTATCACCACCACCACCACCTTCACCATCACCTTCATATCAATACTGATCGTGCCAAGCCACCTCTGAATGGAGTGTCCACAGCAGTTAGTCGAGACCTGCAGTAATGAACAAACACCCATATCTATGCCACCAAGCTGTCATCGCACAATTCGATAGCTGTTGCACAACTCGATAGTTACTGAACGTTTCGATGAGATCACTAATCACTACCAGCCAGACCCAGGTCTCAGGCGCGCGACCCCTGACAGAGCGCTGGTAGCTGCTGCCCACGAGCGAGTATAGTAAGGAGTAGTCATATTGAGGAGAATGACTCAAATGGCAACGACAAGAAGGAACAAGGAAGATGGTACAGCACAGACAGAAAGCAAGCTGGCCTCAACGGAGCTCGGCCCTTAAGAGGGGGGTAATGTCATGGGCCTGGATGTGCAGGAAGTAGGAAGACCTGTAGTTCATATGAAGGGAGTGCAGGAATCGAGGGATCAGGCAGAATATGGGAATTACAGAAGAATTCAGTGAGATCAGTAGTAGACATGGTTCTATGACAGATCTCAACAAGATCTGCATGAACAAAGTCGATACCATGAATCCCACCAGAATCTGTAGTAAGCATGATCATATGGCAGATTCCATGGAGATCAGTGATAAGGATGTTTGTATGACAATTCACATGCGAGGAGGACCAAGTTCGCATGCAAGGAGGATCAGGTGCTGCCAAGAAGGGGACCAAGCTCAAGGAGCATGCAGATGGTTACCACTCAGGGGTTCACAAGATAGGAGTCAAGGGAACCATCACTGGTTGAAGGAAGAAGAGCTATGTCAAGGACACCAGCAAACAGACCATGAGGAGGAGGAACAGTGTCGAAGGAGTTGGCACACAGTTCCAGAAGGACAGACAGGAGAACAGGCAAGCAGGGCTTGATGAGGAGGAGGTGTCTCATCAGGGACCCCTGCACAGTACTCAGCGAAGAAGGTACTCTCTGGAGAGAGAGCTGGAGCAGCATTGCTGGCAATGCTGCAAAGAGGTATATATAACCATACCTTCTCACCATAAGTGGTCAAGTGGATCCTCATCCACTCTACACACCATAACTAGTATTACTTCAGAAGCATAAGTACTCATTAGTTCAGTCAGCATAGTAGTAATCGATAGATTGCTCCTCATTGTAGCATGTGTGTTGTATCACTGCTCACTGATGTCTGAAGGCAGTTCATAGCAAACCAGCAGTCCAGATTAAGATAGAACCAAAGGCAGTTGTCCACTGTGGTCTGGGGATCACCTCAAGCGATAGTTGACACACTGGACACTTGTGTTGACACCACCCAGCAAGTACTCACACCAGACCTTGGTGTTACCACAACAAACATATTGATATTGATTGTGCCAAGCTACCTCTGGATGGAGTGTCCACAGTGGTTAGTTGAAATCTGCAATAGCATTACTACAACTACAGATTCAAGTGAGAAAAGTGATAGAGACAGCTCTATCACATATTTCACCAAGAATCGAAATACCACTAGTGTTGTTGCATAACTCGACAGGATCGGTAATAGTATCGACACTACTACCGATTTCAGGTTTCAGGTGTGCGACCGCTGGCACCACACTCACTGCAGATTGTCGAATCAGTTGTTGGACAGCCTGGCAGCATTCAGGATTTGAAGGTTTGGGCCTCAGGCAGCAACATCCTCAAGAAGCCTCACCTGTACCTTGATGAAGGTGAGTTCATCTGGGTTGATGGTGGATATGGCCATTCTGCCATCACAGTTGGACCATTCTCTCACATTGCCACCAACAAGAGTCAAGACCTTCGACACTTCAACTACATGCTCTCTTGAGTCCAAGTACAAGTCAAACATGCCATTGCATACCTGAAGAACTGCTTCCAGTGCCTTAAAGGCTATTGTGGTAACATCTACTGTGTCAAGGACTGCATCACTGTTGCACAGACAATCCAAGCCTGCATTGTTGCACACACCTTTGCAAGCCAATATGACTATCCTGCCAATATTGCTGACCTGCTGTTGCCCTCTTTCTCTGAGGATGAGGTGAGTGAGGTTGTTCAAAGCCTCCAACTTGATGCCAGGGATACACAAGAGCTTGAGAGGACAAGACACACAAATCAGCAGGGATATGAACTGGATCTTGCCACTGCAATACAAGGAATGTCACAGTATGCAGTGTCAAGACTTTGAAGTTCTGCTGCACATGATCTTTGAGAGGAAATGTTCCAGGTGCTGTTCAGATCCACTGGGTGCATTGAGGAAGACACTACTGCATTGTCTCAATGTCATGAGAAGACTACTGTGGACTACAATGCCATGTGTCAGAGGTCGCGCACCTGAAACCTGAGATCAGTAGTAGTATCAGTACTATCACCGATTCTGTCGAGTTATGCAACAGCACTAATGGTATTACGATTCCTAGTGAAATATGTGATAGAACCATCTCTGCTGCTTTTCTCATTGGAACCTGTAGTTGTATTGGTGGTATGACAGATTTCGACTGACCACTGTGGACACCCTGTCCAGAGGTAGCTCAGCATGATCAAACTACAATATGACTCTAAGTGAACTTGATGTTGACACCAATGGTCTGGTGTGAGTATGGATTGATGATGCTGACATGAGTGTCCAGTGTGTCGACTAACGCTTGAAGTGATCCCTGGACCGCAGTGGACAACTGCCTTTGGTTCTATCAATATCTGGACCACTGGTTTGCTAGGAACCGCCTTCGGACATCAGGAAACGGTGATACAACACATGCACTTCGATGAGGAGCAATCTATTGATTGCAACTTATGCTGACTGAAAACTAATGAGTACTTATGTTTCTAAAGTATTGACTAGTTGTATGGTGAGTAGAGTGGATGGGAATCCACTCGACCATTTGTGACAAGAAGGTATGGTTATATACCTCTTCACAGCGTCGCCAGCAACACTGCTCCGACTCTCTCTCCAGAGAGTACCTTCGCTGCCGAGTACTGTGCAGGAGTCTCCACTGAAACTCCTCCCTCACAACGCCTCGTCGCTCCTGTCTTTTCTGAGCTGTATCAACTCCATCGACACTGCTCCTCCTCCTCATGATTGGTTCGCTGGTGCCCACCACACAGCTTCTCTTCCCTCAACCAGCAATGGTTCTCTTGTCTGCATATCTCCTGAGCCCCTGAGTGGTAACCGTCTGCATGCTTCGTGAGCTTGGTCCCTGTCTCAGCAGTGCTCGATCCTCCTCACTTGTGAGCATAGTCCCTCTCGCATGTGAAATCATCATACAAATGTTGTTGTCACTGATCTCAATGAAATCTGCCATACTATCATACTTACTGCAGATTCTGGTAAGATCTGTGATATCTAGTTCATTTGTGCAGATCCCAATGAGATCTGTCATAGAACTGGGTCTACTACCGATTTTGCTGAATTCTTCTGTAATTCCACTGATCCACCTGATCCTTCGATTCCTGTGCTACCTTCATATGAACTGTCGGGTCTTCCCGCTTCCTGCGCCGCCAAGCCCATGACACCATGACTCAAAGCACTTCAGCTTGGAGACAGGAGTGAGCCTTGATGCAACCATTCTCAATCTGACAGGCACTCTCTCTTCTGCTGTTGAATACAACCCTTGTTACCACCATATGAAACATTACAATAGGGGGTTTCAGTTTTCTCTGAGTTTTCAAAACTCCGAGTTTTCATGGTTTTTTTGGATTTTGAAAGCTCACTGCTTAAGTAAGCTCTGCCAGGAAAGAAAAGCTCAGAAGTTTTGAAAACCCCTACTTATTTTTGCTGTGAGCCCAGGTTTCTGAATATTTGAGTTTTCAGCAGGAGTTTTTGTCATGTGCTGATATCATGTGATTCTAACACAATTCTGTGCACAACCCTTGACCTCCACTTTCTG